GTGTGATGAGCAGAGCCCCAAACCCCTCCCCATCCTTAGCATTCTTGGCCAAAAAGTATAGTAACATCGTTATTAAACAAGTAATCTGCCCTGGATCGTGTGGCTCAGTGGAATGAGTGCTGGCCTTTGAACCAAACAGTCACCAGTTCAATTCCCAGACAGGGCACACGCCTGGGTTGTGGGCCAGGGCCCCAGTAGGGGGCACACAAGAGGCAACCACACACTGATGTTTCTCTCCCTCTCTTTCTCCTTCCCCTCCCCTCTCTAAAAATAAGTAAATCTTTAAAAAAATAACTCAATCCCAACTATTTAATTGGCCCTTTCACCTCCCACATACATTGAAAAAAGGGTATTTAAATCTCACTACCAAGTGAGACACAAGCACCTGCTGAGCCCAGGGCAGCCTGCTGCCCTGGAACCACGCTGGACACCACTGCCCTCTTCTGGCTCCACCTCTTCCCATGGTACTCGCTTTTTTCAGCAATGGCTGAAAACCCTGCTTTCCCACAACAAGGTGTCCCCACGAGGACTGCGCCACACTCTGATGTGGAATCTGGGAACCCCTCCAAGGGAGGGGTCCCTTGCTGTGGTGTCTGGATGTCTCACTGCAGAGCTGGGAGCCATAGGATAGAGAGTGCCAGGAGGATGGTGATGGGTGGTGCTGAACTTCCACCCGTGTCACCTCCGTCTGGAGCTAACCCACTGCCTCAGCCACAGTGACTCGAACACTCCTGCTTCCTCCCTTCGCCTGCCTACACATCAAGGGCAGGACAGAGAGCAAGGGCCCTCCCATTTCAAAGATGAACACAAACTGCTTTTAATTTTCAGGTGCCCTGCCACTGGTTCGCAATTCCTGAGGCCATGCCTGTGCTTTGGATGTGACAAGCAACCCTGTGTTCAGACCCAGCCCCACTCACCCAGCAGTGCCCTCAAGAGCCTCCATCAACACCAGGAAGGCTTGGTCAGCGGGACCCTCCAGGAAGAAGCTGGCCCACAACTTCTCCAACTGGCCATTGGGCAGCAGCTCCAGCCAGTCCAGGCTCAGCTTGCCAACAAGATATCGGAGAAAGGCAGAAAAGTGGAGCCTGGCAAACTCTTCCTGCTCCTCAGGGAGGGCTGGGTTCTCCGTTCCTCCAAGGTATCGCTTCAGGGACTGCAGGGTGGAGAAGATGTAGCCACCATCCTTGGAAGATGAAAGGGTGTGAACAGCCTCCCGGACGGTGAGTTGGACCGAAGAGAGCCCTGGATCCATCCTGTTCACAGGAAAGGGCATGAGAAGTGTGTGGTGCTGTGGGCATCCACATGGAACCCAGTCTTGGATAAGGAAGCATTTTTCGTGTCCTTCCTGAAACCCCCCAGCTGGCCTCTTCTGCCGTCACCCAGCTGTATCCTTCCCCTCCCCCATCTTACACGGTTTCCACCAAGAAACAGTGTAGGGTCCTTTTTAGGACCTGAGGCCCTCTATGACACCCTCTACAGCAGGATGGCAAACTGTCCAGGGACACATGCCTGTATCTGGAAACATCTTTAGTTGTCACAGCTAAAAATGTCAGGATGCTGACAAACATTCCACATACTCAAGACAGCCCCCGCAACAAAGGATGATCCAAACCAAATGTCAACAGTGCCGAAGTTGGGAGACCATGGTCTAGAAGTACCAGCCGTGCGCTTCCAATTCCCTGGTGCACCACCCATCTGCGATTAACCTTACCAAATTCCCTCTCTTCCCCCAAACCACAACCATCTATAGGTAGTATTTATCTCTGTTGGGCGCCTCTGCAGGACTAAGTAACATAAGTAGGCACCAGTTTGTCACCAGTGCACCCAGCCTCTTGATAAGGCTGTATTAGGGACCTGAGAGTGTTCTCAAGAGCCTGGTGGCTCCCGACCCTGCCTGGTCTACGCGGATGTGCAAGCCAGCCAACAGGACAGGATCGGTCCATCCGAAGCTCCTACTAAACGTGCGCACGAAGCCCACCTTGTGGTGTGATAGGAGGGGACCTCGTGAGATATGAGGGGGTTTCGGGGCTGGAGGACGGCGTCCACGGGGAAGGCTGGGGTCTCGGCGCGGTGCGCAACCACTCCGTCCTGGGAGTGGCCACAAGCCCGCTAGGACTCGGCTCCGTTGCTGCGAACCCGACTGCGATTCGCTATGGCCGCGGAGGCTCAGCTCTACACCCAGTTCACAGCTCGCGGCCACGGAGCACAAGCTTCTCAGTACTGGTGGAGTTACCGCTGACTTTCTTTGAGTCGTGGACCCCACTGACCAATCATGATGAATCTTGGTGAGAAGCCTGTGAGCCGGAAGAGGTACGGAGCGGATGGCCACATCTGCGCCTGCGCCAGACAGGACTGAGCCTGCGCGGAACGGGGATTGGGCCTGTAGGGGCGTGGTCCCTCTGTGGGTGGGGCTGTACTCCCCAAATTGGCTTGGATGAGTCTTCTCTGCGAGCGGCCTGGCGTCTTTCCCTGAACCTCCGTGTCAGTGTTTTCGGGCGTGATTTCCAGCCCTCCCTCAGCTCCGGAAACCCAGTTCTCGGGCGCCACGGTGCGCGCCTCCACAATTCCTACTTAAGCACCGACCATGTGTCCAGCCTGGCTCCCCATCCAGCATCGCCATCCTAGAGGCAAGGCTCCACTCTCCAGGGGCCACGACCCTTACAGGAAAACTCACTGTAGACAAGGAAGCAATAACAACCTGGGCGGTGTCGGGTATTCAGGAGTGTAGCAGTGTAAATAACTCAGGATCCTGGAATAGGAACTGCACGTTCAGCATGTGACGACCAGCCACAGGTGGCTTTGGAAATTAGCTGAAATCAAATAAAAGGCACAAGTCGGTTCCTCCGTCACACAGCCAGTTTTCAAGGGCTCGATAGCCATCTATAGCTATTGGCTGCCATAATGCACAGCGCATCTAGATATGGTACCTTCTTGGCAGAAGCCTCTATGGGCGGCATCTGGGAAGACCTAACTGGTGCCATTTTAGCCTAGATGGTCCCCGTGGGGAAATCTGGAAAATGTTTTATTCATTCAACAGTTTATTAAATGTTTGCTGTGTGTAGCAAGCATTCTTCCAGAAAGAGAATGAAGCAGATAACGGTTCTTCGCACGCAGCAGGGAGGGAAATGGTGTGCCTGAGCAATACGTCATATGGCAAATACTGATAAGGAAAATTAGGCGGAGTAAGAAAATGAGTAACTAAGAGCATTCTCATTTTAAAACGTCCACACTGGGTGTAGTTGAGAGAACGGACGGTAGGGGGCAACTGCGGAGGCAGGGAGCCCAGCTGGGTGGCTGTTGTCAAGACAGGTACGGGCCTGAGTGGTTAAAACTGGTTGAACTGGGATGTTTCTATGGGGTAGAACTGATGGACTGGATGTGGGGTGTGACAGGGAGTGAGGAGTCGAGCATGATGCCTTCCTGGGACCCTGGGAATTCCTCCCAGTCCACTTCTGGATGAGAGCCCTCGCTCTGCACTTCCTACAGCTACTGCAATCATCCTTTATTCCCCTATTTCCCTGTTGTTTTAGTAACTTCTCGCAAAACAATGCACAGAAGATCAATTTCTTAAGCCTTTACATATCTGAAAAATGCCTTTATTCTTTGCTTCAGGTCGATTTACATTTGAGCCTGATGTACAATTCTAAATGAAAACCATTTTCACTCAGAAATGTGAAGGTTTACTCCTCTGCCTTTGCCAGCCAGCACTACTGCTGAGATGGCCAACAGTTCTCCAGGGAGAGTCTCAGCCCTTCCCATGTGACCAGGTTTTCTCTCTGGACATTTTTGAGACTTCCTCCTCAGCCGAGGTGCTCTGCCACTTGATGAGAGGAGCCTTGGGGTCAGCTGCCATTTCCCTGACCCAGTGCTCGCTCTTCAGCATGTGGCCTTGAAAATAACGGATGCCCTTGTCTGCGACACCTTCCTGGATACTCTTCCTGACAATTCCTTCCACCTGTTTTCTTTCGTTTCACTCCTACGGTTTCTTTTCGTTGGATTGCTCTCAAGTGTTATGTTTTTCCTCTCCTTTCCATCTCTTTGTCTCTCTGCCCTACTTTCTGGGCAGTTGCTTTAACTTTGCCTTTCAGCTGTTTGTTGAGGGGGAAATCATAGTTGTTTTTTTTTTTCCAAGAGCAACCTCTCCCTTTCTGATTATTCCATTTTTTGTAGCATCCATTTCTTGCCTTGTGAGCACAAGGCCTTCCTTGTTGTTCTGAGGGTACCGATTAGAACTCTTTTGAACTTTCCCTTGGCCGTCTGCGTTGTCTCCTGGGTTCCTGTTCTGTTTGGGCAGATTTCCGCCACTCCTGTCAGAAGCTTCCAAGTGTCTGGTGATCGTTGCCTGAGATTTTGTGTTAAGCAAGAGAGACTAAACAGACCCATGGATAAGGGGGACCACTCTACATCTGCAAAGAGTTTTTTCTAAATAAGGTGCTTTTCTCAAGTACAGGGTTAAAACTTGGACCTACATTATTGGGGGATCACCATTCAGCCTGGTCCCCAAAATAAGTTAGGGTGGCTTCCAATTCCATGTCCTTTGTCTTCCCCAAGGGAGAGGTGTCCTCAAGGGATACTCTGTTCATGGTGGGACAGTGGGCCCTGCAGCAGACTTGGATCCAAGGACTCCCTGGCCCCAGCCAGGTCCTCTGTCTTGCTTCAACTTCCTTTTGGTGGGAACATGAGTCCATGAGTTCCTGCTAAAGCGATCACCACTGTCCACCTCCGAGCCAGCAAGAACAGGGTTTCCACCCTGTAGAGTTATTTTCCAAAGACACTGCATCTGTTGTAAGCTTGTCTCCTTGGGAACCTCCAAATCTCCAGAGCCCATGGGCTGGAAGACAGATGCCTTTCACTGAGTGACAGGAAATACCTGACTCCATGCCAGAGTCGAAGGAAAACTTCACTGAGAGCTAGAGGGAGCATAGGTTGAGGCAGGAGCACGAAGCAGGCAGCAGCATCCTACAAGCTGGTGTCAGCTCCTGCTTCTCTTCCATATTGGAATGGGCTGCCCAGGAAGGAAGATCCTGTCTTTCTTTCTTATTTTTGTGCTCATTTATCTGCATGGGGTTTCGTTGCAGGAAGCTGGCCCTACAGGGCAGAGAAAACCGTTTTTTGAGAGGCTCCGCAGACTGGAGGAGCAGGTAAATATTTGCACCTTGCAGTGCAGTTTATTATTTTTTTAAAATTAACAACAGAGGAAGGAAGGACATTACAAAAATGGAGTAGTGAGCATCAGGGCTCTGTGAACACAGGCATGGAGTTTGTAGTTCTTTTTATCAGCTGATGTTATTCTCATCTATAGCTGGAAACCAGCAGAAAGGTTGTAAAGACAAGCAGGGATTCTGACCACATTAGGGTTGGGTGGGGGTCAGAGGCCGGGAGGAGTAGGAAGGGCACAGGGGAGCAGCTAAAAGCTGTGTGGGACCTGCGGGGGGAGGATAGGGCCAGGGAGCAGATGGGGCAGTGGTACTGGGCACGGGCCAAGGTCTTGGGTCTGTCACGGAGAAGACATTCCCGTGTGGGTCCATAGCCAGTTCCCAGGTGCCCTACGTATGACAGGCCCGCTTCCAGCACTGCCCACTTTGACTCACATAAACGGTTCACTCCTCCTGTCTTGGTGTCCGTCCACTCACAGAGAGGACCCTGAGGGTCAGGGGTGAAGGGTAGGAGGCCAGGCTATGGGCCTGGAGCCCTTACCCAACACAGTGCAGCCAAGTGGCCTAGGGCTGGTCCCCCTCCTCTCTGAGCTTGGCTGGGATGGAACTGGCCGTGGCGATTGGCCGGCTCCTGGTAGGCATCACAGAAGCATGGCAGGGAAGGCTTGTTCTGTACCCTCCTGGGCCCTGGTCCCCAAGGCTGCTGTATGTCTGTTGCAGTTTCGGAGGTTCCAGGAAGCAACCTTAACACACCTGCAGGCCATTGCCAGCAACTACAACCTGTCCTACAACATCGATGCCCGGTTCCAGAACTTGGCCCAGGAAAGCCAGGCCTTGGCTCTGGAGGTCAACCAGTCACAGGCCGCTGTGCAGAGAGACCTGGGCCACCTCAAGACCTGGATGCGGAAAACACAACGCAGAAGTCGGAAGATGGATTCCAGGCTGCTGGCTTTGGGTTACGCCCTCAGGGAAAGGAGCCAGCAGCACACCCAGGAGAGGAAGGAGCAGGAGGCACAGAGAGAAGCCCTATCTGGCCTGGCCCTGGACATGCGGGCCCTGCAGGACACACTGGCTCACCTGACACACGTTGTCCAGAGCCAGGGCACCAGGCTGGCTGCTCTCGAGGAGTGGCTTCAGGTGGCTTGTCCTGGCACCACAGCCCCAGTGTGGGCCCCTGCTCAGCCTCGGCTGCCGAGCCCAAGCTCCCTGAAGCTGCAGGGGGTCAGGCAGGCACTTGGTGCTTCACCTGAGCCCAGGGACCCAGCTCAGGACTTTGCTGGCCATCTCCGAGGGACCCAGGAGCCCCCAGGCACAGGCAGCCAGTGGGCATGGCCCCCTGAGACACAGGCAGAAAGTAAGTACCTTGGGCCTGCCCTTCCCTTATCCTCTTCCATTTTTCCCTCTCACTCCTCCTTAAGCCTCCGATCCCCTCTGAAAAGCCTTCTCCCTGGGGCTGTATGGAGAGGACACTGGCTTCCTGCCCCAAGTAGCCCATCCTAGAAGAAAGGGGCCATCGGAGTCATGGCCAGTCTGTCGGTCCCCAAGAAGTCATTAGGAATGGATGCACACACACTATAGGGTGCTGGCCAGCACCAGTGGTTAATACATGCCCATTCCAAGTTGAAGATTGGCCTCATTAGGGTTGGCAGAATCCCACCGATGTCCCCAACGGTCACCAGCACGAGCCCTCTGTAGGGCCCTGGCTCAGCTGGCATCTCGTGGGTCTCATGCCCACTTGTGGAGGGCCCCGAGCCTTTGAAAAAACAGTTCCGAGCTTCCAAGTGAGGTGTTTTCAACTGAAGCGCTCCTGACACCTGGAGGAGGCAGTCCTTAGTTGTGAGTGCTGTCCCAGGCACTGTGGGGTGTTTAGCAGCATCCCCAGCCTTCGCCCAGTGAGATGCCAGTTCATCCTTAACTTTTATCTTTGATTGGTTGCTCCCTCTGTCTGGTTTAGTAGCCTCTGGGGCCCCTTAATCTGAAGCAGGGTTGCCTTTCATCCAGGGCACGCTGGTGGCCTCCCCAATAAGATAGGACCGACAAGGTGACCTCTAGGAATCTGCCAGGGCTGCCAGGAAAGGGAGGGCTGCAGGTTTGACAACCACAACTGTGAGCAGACATTGCTAGATGTACCCTGGGGCACAGTCAACTCCAGTTGAGGACAACCACCCTGAATTATGACAGGAGCCCTCTAGGGAAAAGAGGAGCTAAGGCCAGCCACAGAATGCCCTCCATCCTCAAATCCAATTGCATGATGGGCTAGAAAAGCACATTTCCGGCTTTGCCCCCAGCCTGCAAATAAGAACCTCAGCCCAGGTGCAGCACCTGGAGGCCAACAACACCCGCCCATACACACACACACACACACACACACACACGCACACACCTGTCAGGCAGACCTGGCAGGAAATCTGGTGAGCAGGATGAAGGCCCTCAGAGATATCCATGTCAGGGTGCTTGGGTCCTGTGGATATGTCACTTCATGTGGCAAAGAGGACAGATGTGATCTTGAGATGGCAGATGATCCTGGACTATGGCATGGGCCCAGTGTCATGGCAGAGGTCCTTCTAAGGGGGAAACAGGGGTGTCCAGTCAGCGGAGATGTGATGACCTCTGCTTCTGAGGGATACATATTTTGAAGGTGGAGGAAGGGCCTGAAGCCATGGAAGTGGGCATCGCCAGAAGCTGGAGAGGGCAGGAAGGGGCTTGTCCCTGGTGCCTCCAGAGGAGCCAGCTCTGCCAACACCATGATTCTGGCCCAGTAAGATCTGTGTTGGGCTTCTCACCTCCAGAACTATAGGATACTAAATCTGTGCTGTTTTGAGCCACTGAGTTTATGGAGATGTGTTACAGCAACCGCAGGAAACTCATACAGAGGCTCCCTGGAGGTGAGGGGTGTCAGCTCAGGCTTGCTCCCTAGTGAGGCACATGACTGCCCTGGTTCTCAGTCTTCCCTCAAAGAGGCACAGCCGTCACGGTGAGAGTTTGATGAAAGTCAGCTGCTGGGTCTTAGGCCCACCTGCCTGGGGCAAAGGAAAAGCCTATAGCAGGATGTTTCTGAAAGCTTCTGGAAGTTTCTGGGTGGCCTTGTGGTGCATGGACTGACTCCTGCCTCTGTTTCTAGTTTGCAACGTGGGGCCAGCACTCATCTTCCCGAACACCTCCACCGAGAATGTGGTCTTCCTCCACCGCGGCTTCCTCTCAGGTCTGCGGGCCTTGTCTGTCTGCAGCTGGGTCCGAACGGCCTCAGGCCACCTGGGCACCCTGCTCTCCTATGCCACCGAGGAGAATGATAACAAGCTGGTGCTGCACGGCCGGGACTCCCTGGCCCCCGGCTCCATCCACTTTGTGATTGGAGACCCAGCCTTCAGGGAGCTGCCCCTGCAGCCACTGCTGGATGGCCAGTGGCACCACGTGTGTGTCATCTGGACGTCCACACTGGGGAGGTACTGGCTCCATGTGGACCGAAGGCTGGTTGCCACCGGCTCCCACTTCAGGGAGGGCTATGAGATCCCTCCCGGAGGGTCCCTGGTGCTGGGCCAGGAACAAGACAGCATGGGAGGTGGGTTCGATGGCTCTGAGGCCTTCGTGGGGAGTGTGGCAGGCCTAGCCATATGGGACCGTGCACTGGTCCCCAGGGAAGTCTCACACCTTGCCACTGGGAAGAAGCTCCCACCCGGTGCCATCCTGACACTGGCTGATGCCGCACTGATAGGTGGGTTTGTGCGGAGGGTAAACTGCACCTGCCTAGAGCTCTGTCCATGAGGCCTCACTGCCTGGGGCCTGTGGTCACGCTCTGCTTGCAAGAGGAGCAAGTCCCCAGTCTGTTCAACCATCCCCAACCCCAGCACACTTCACAGAAGGACTCCGCCCAGACTGGAGATGGAAGGGCAGGACGCTGCTTCCGACCTGGGCCAGGCACACCTGGCATCTAACATAGAATGAGGGCACTCCATTGCGGGGGGACAAAGAAATGTGGAGGGGCAGAGAGGGCGATGGGAAGAGACAAAAATCAGGATCCCGAAGAATTGCGTTCTTTCCCTTGTGGTGACATCCTTACAGTTGCCCTCTCTATAGTATAACATCAGGCTAACAAGGCCCGACCAGGCCAGATGGGAGTGCTGGACTCCCACGGGGCCTCTGGGGGTGGCTTTGCTGCCGTTCCAGGCTGCTTTGTGGAGAACTCCGTTTTCCTGAAAACTGCATGGGCAGCGTGTGAACTGTCACCGCACTCTCTCAGGTGGCTTATGGGAGTTCCCCCTTGGCTGATCCTTGTCCCAGTGCCTCATGAAAAGGGCCAGAGAACCCACTTCCTGGCCCCCAGTACTACAGCCCCTGTTCACCGGGAGCCCTGGGGGTTCCCTCAGGGTCCTGCGATGGTTGTTGAGGCTATGGATGCCTCCAGGGAAGGGGACCTGCAAAAAGTGCAGTGTATTCTGAAATAAACATTAACGATGGATGGCAATGCTTTTAAAGCAACTGTTTGGGGATATAATTTACATTTAAAAGTTAGTGGTCACTCCTGACTCCTCCACCCCAGCCCTTTCCCGCGGCTCTGGCAACCGCCGGTCTGCTTTCTGTTTCTGTGGATTTGCCTGTTCTGGACGTTTCGTATACATAGAATCACACGGAAGTTGCCCTTTTGCATCTGGCTTCTTTCACTCAGCAAATGTTCTCCAGGTTCACGCGTGTGACAGGGTCAGTGCCTGGCTCCTTCACCAGGCCGGGTGACATTCTACTGTAAGGGACCACATCTTGTTTATCCATTGAGCAGTTGATGAGTATTCAGATTGTTTCCAGTTCAGGGCTCTTGTGGATAAAGCTACATACACGTTCTCGTGTGAGTCTTTGTGTACTCAGATGTATTAGCTTGAGTGATACCTAGGGGCAGAATTGCCGGACTGCATGGTAAATTCACGCCCATGCCGTCAGAGAAACCACCAAGCTGGTGTCCAAAGTACATCCCCACCAGCGATATATGAAGGTTCTTATTCCTCTGTACTCTTGATGACGCTTGATAATTATTTGTCTTTTGGACAACATTTTAAAAGAATATTTTTACTTATTTTTAGAGAGAGGGGAAGGGAAGGAGAAAGAGAGGGAGAAAAACATCAATCTGTGGTTGCCTCTCACATGCCCCCACTGGGGACCTGGCCCACAACCCAAGCATGTGCCCTGACTGGGAATCGAACCAGTGACCTTTTGGTTCACAGCCCACACTCAATTCACTGAGCTACACCAGCCAGGGCTGGACAACATTTTTTAAAAAATATTTTTTATTTACTTATCTTTAGAGGGGAAGGGAAGGAGAGAGGGAGAGAAATATCAATGTATGGTTGCCTCTTGTGCATCCCATGCTGGGAACCGGCCTGCAACCCAGGCATGTACCCTGAGTGGGAACCAAACCATGATCCTTTGGTTCACAGGCCTGCACTCAATCCACTGAGCTACACCAGCCAGGGCTGAACTACATTTTTTTAGACAACTTTGTTTTTTTGATTTCTGATTTTCGTATAAAAAACACGTTGACAAGTAGAACAGGCGTGGTTGACTTTAAGTTTCAGTGTGATGTTAAGTTAACCCTACAATACTTTCACTTCCCTGGGAAGACCCAAATACATCTCCCCTCCCTGGGAGAGATGCCCTAAATTAGTCCCTTGGGTCCCCTAGCATGGTTCCTCTCCCTGCAGAGCTCTCTGTGGCCCCAGCAATTCTGGGCCTTTCAGCTGAAGGCCCAGAGTGTCCCCACAAGCCCCTCCCACCTCCTGCCATGCCCAGTACCACCTTTCATGAGTCAAGGTCAGAAGAGACATTCTAGAACTAGAAACCCCCTGGGTGGCCATGCAGAGGCTCCCTGGGTCACTGGCTTCAGCTTCCCCTTGCATCATCCCAGAACACATCCATCTCAACCGGCCTTTTCTGGAGGTCTTGCTCCATCCCAGTCTGGTGTCGAGGGAGGAGGGACTACATCGTTCATTTGGGAAGACTGGCAACTTGATCACTGTTTCTTGAGGGACAACGAGGTCCCCAGCATTAAAAAAAATCATACAGGGCATTATATTCCACTCCTCCCCTGCTTTCAGGCATTTATAATGCCATAGGGGGGCCCAGGATGTGTCACCCTGCACAGTGGCATCCAGCTACATGTCTGAAGACCCTAAAGCCATGGGAATTTGGTGGAGGGGCCTTCATTGTGGGCTGTGGATTTGGGGATGCTTAGTGGGGAAGGGGCCATCCAGGAGTGCAGAGCAGAGTGGCCGAGGCAAAGCGGCAAGGGCTTAGAATGGGCGTTGAGACAGCTTGGTGGAAGCTCAGATGGTTGAGATTTTGGTAATGGCTGGCCTGTCCAGCTCAGGTGTCTGAGCTCTATTTCAGAGGACCAGGAAAGGTCATCCAGGTTTTGGAGCAGAGGGACTGACGGTCTCACATAACCCACCATCCCCCTGGGGTCAGCAACAAAGTCCACGTGAATTTTTAAGCATGAGCCACATCTACCTCTAATTCCATAAAAGCTCACCTTTGACCCGAGTCTGTTGGGTTTCTGGGTAAGGAGGACGAAAGGACCCAAAGCCCTCCTCCTTCTGCTGTGGAACCTGGGTCCTGACAAGGTGCCCAGGCTGGGTTCTCCCTTCCCCCACTTTCCCGCCCCAGTCCATGTGTCCTCTGAAAGGTCCACTCATCTAGCAAAGGGACAAGTCAGGCTCCTCGTCTGATAGGGATGACCTTTGGGATCAGCCCCGTCTTGCTTGGTCACAGAGGTGGCCTGCCCTCCCCCAGAACCCCATCATCCCAGGGACTGTTCCCACTCCTCCAGTGCTCTCTGCTCAGCCCGTCTGCCTGCCTGCCTGCACGCCTTCACGCAAAACGCAGTCAACCCCTCACTTCAGTCAAACCAATCAGGTTTGACCTGCTCCTCAGGGCCTTTCCCACGCCAGCTGCCCTTCCTAGCCTCCACGCCCTTGTCCACAAACTGGAGGTCATCACACTCCTGTCGCCATCACTAGAAGGGGCACAACCAGGGTGCACAAGTGAGAAAACACCTTTATTGAAAGAACGTTGTTTTGAGTATGTCCTAAAAGTGTTGCCCAATAATCATTGTAGAAATTCATAACCCAGTTGGACTTCCTTCCTCTTATTTTGGTTTTGATTTCATTTTGAATTATGTGATGGGAGGGGCTCCCTTATTTTCTCAGCCTCAGAGCCTCTAAAAAGCTTTAACAATCTTATTATTTTGAATACTTTTAAAAAATACCTTTTATTTTACTTATTTCCTTTTTTTTAGAGAGAGGGGAAGGGAGAAAGAGAGGGAGAAAAACATCAATACGAGAGAGATTCAGTTGATTGATTTGCCTCTGTCACGCCCCCAACTGGGGACCCAGCATGCAACCCAGGCACGTGCCCCGACTAGTAACCAAACCCTCGACCCCTTGGCTCACAGGCCAGTGCCCAATCCACTGAGCCATACCATCCAGGGCTATTTTGAATCTTTTCAAACCTAAAAAAAAAGTTGTAACAGGAATACATTCCACATCATTCATATTTATCCTAGATTCATCAAATGCTAATATCTTGTCATATTTTCTCTCTCTGTGGGGAGCTACATGTTATGATCGATTACATTGTGAATCATTTGAGATAAAGTTGCAGACGTTACGTCACAACACAGTCTCCTACGTATTGTAGCATGTATCTCCCGAGAACAGGACCTTTTCTGATATGACCCCAAGACAATGATCACACTGGGGGACTCGATGATGCTGTAATACTGCTACCTAATGCACAATGCACAGCCAGTCCTCGCCAATGCCCCAATAATGCCAAAGCCACAGAGAAGCCTTTGCTTACTCTTTCCTCAAGGCAGGGCAGTTCCTCAGTCTTTCTTTGTCTCTCATGACTCTAGTACTAAGAATAGAGCTGCCTGGTTGTTAGCAGTTCTTCAATTGGGGTTTACCTAACTCCTCCTCTTCGATGGTATTCAGGGAAGCATTTTCTACAGGAAGGCTACGGGAACGACGTCATGTCCCACCCAGCGCAGAGCATCTGGGGGCCTGTGATGATGCCAGTCTATCAAGGTGATGCTAACCTTGTCCTTGGTTCAGATGGAGTCTTCCAGATTCCTCACAGCAGATTTCTTTTCCCTTCCTCACCGTAAGTAATCTGCAGGAAGACACTATTGAGATTATGTACATATTTCCCCCCAACAAACCTCAAACCAATGGCTTCAGCTCTCATTAATGATTCTAGATGGAATCAGTCATTACTACAGTGGTGGCAAAATGGTGCCGTTTCTAATTCCATCCTTTCTTCCACATTTATTAGTTGATGACATTCTAAGAACGGAGACCCCCCCAAAATCAAATTTAGTTGTACAAAATTGTGTATTTAGTCTTACATGTTTAAACTTTCGTCACCATCAAAACCTTCAAATTATTTTCCATTTGATGCTATATACCTATCAAGACTTTTTTCCCCCACTGCTCAAAACAGTTTTCAAACTTAATAACGTGATGCCTTTTAGTGCTTCTGCCGTTTTTTGTTTTACCTCTTCCACATCAGCAAGACATTGCCCTCTGAGAGCAACGTCTCTTTTCACATAGGAAACAAACAAACAAAAGTTGCTCAGGCCTTATAGGTGAACAAGGATGGCTGGGCATGGGGGCCAAGCTTGTTCTGGTCAAAAATCGCCTCACACTCACACTCAACGTGTGGTGTGGACAGGCATGCTTATAAATCACCCATCATGAAATGCGCAAACACCTAGAGAGTCTCCATAAAAGAAAAAAAATTTACTGAAGCTGAACATAGCCTCTCACAACAATGCCAGTTGGTATGCTGGTATGAATGGGTTCCTAGAACACTCACCTAGGGGGAAGCCTGTTCTGCAAGGGGCTGCCCATCAGAAGGTAATTTCGGTACTGGTTTTTGGGTGGGCCCCACCCCACCCCACCCCACCCCACCCCACCCCACCCCACCCCACCCCACCCCATATTGTAAAGAAGGAGTCCTCATTTCCCACTTCCCCCTTTCCTCCCTTCCTGCTAGTGTAGACCCCGGGTGCTATGTCGTGATTGGATCTGATGGACTAGGCCTATGTGGACAGACTGAAGTTCCTCCAGCAGACCTGTGCTCCCACACATGAGGTCAAGGCCCTCTGGCGAGACCTCCAAACCCGGTATTCCGCAGTGCAGGGTCCTGCCTGCCACAACGCCCGCGGCCCTCGGACCACAACTCCCAGAAGGCCTTGCAACCCCCCGTCCCCCGGCACCGCCACTCGTGGTCACGTGGCGGCTACCAAGGTCACGCGGCCGCTGTCCTGGGTCACGTGGCCTCAGCGCGGGTCACGAGAAAAAACACCGGTAGGCTGCGGGCCATGGCTAACGTCTCCAAGAAAGTGTCTTGGTCCGGCCGCGACCAGGATGACGATGAGGCGGCGCCGCTGTTGCGGAGGGCGGCACGGCCTGGGGCGTCGGCGGAGGAGGGCACGCCGCTGCTGAACGGGGCCGGGCCTGCGGCTGCCCGCCCGGTGAGAAGCTCGCGGTAGACTGAGGCCTCGCGCCTGGCCTCCCGGCCGGCAGAGACTTCCAACACCTACGAGCCACACGCAGAGCCGGGTGGCGGGGCGGAAAGAGGCGGCCTCCTGGTAACCTGCGCCTCACAGTCTCCCTTCTCGCAGGAGCCGGTCTCGCCGTGGCAGGGCGCATACGGAAGAGCGTGGCCCGGGGCCGCTGCGAGTCGGGGGTCCGAGGCTCTGACAGGCCCAGGGTCCTCGGGTGGTGGCACTTTGCCGGGACGGCGCTGACGTGGGCTGCGCAGTGCGCGGTGTCAGCTGAGCGTTCAGCTGGGGACTCCGTGAATACCTTACTCGGGTGGTTCATCCCATTGTAAAGACAAGGAAGTTGAGTCGCAGACGGGTTCGGGAACGCTACCGGGGTCTCGCTGGGCAAATGACAGAGCTGACATCAGAACCTAGGCCTTGATTCTGGAGTCTTGGGAAGAAGTTCTGGGTCTGGTGCCCAGCAGGGGTCTATCTAGTAGCAGGTGGAATTCGCCATTACACTCGGGTGTTTCAGACTAGCACATTTGCCGTCGTGTCCTTGACAGCATGAAGCTAATTTACCTGACAGTTTCCTCCAAAATGACTTTGAAGGGAAGGCAAATGGAATTCTGCCCAGGTGATCCCCAAAATTGTGATAAAAATATAAGCTACTCTTTTAACAATTCCCAGGAGATTTTTAACAGTTGGGGTGCAGACTTTACTCTGGCAGTGAACTGAGGAGCTCTGCCACCCTTCTCTACAGGGATCAGTACAGACTTCAGGGACATCTCAGAAATGACAAGTACTCGAACTTAGTTTCTCACAGCAGTTCATTGCCATCAGGTACACTAAGCAGTGAGTCAGGGCGGTGGAAAAGTGCTCAGCATGTCAGTCAGTGATGCAGTTTGTTCCTTTAAATGTGTATCTGTGTGTTATGTTAATTTTGAGTTAAGGAGCTTTTTGTTTATTGGGTTTATTTTGTCTTCTGATTATTCTTTACTTCTGACCTTCTGTTCTAGATCAGTCCTTTAAATAAGTGTAAAATGTTTAAGGATTAAGAAGGACATTAGGTGTTTCTTTAGAACTTACTGCTAGATTTCCCCAGTCCCTTGGAAATTCACTGGACTGAAGGCCGGGTGCTGCTCAGCTCCATTTGTGAGAAATCTACTGAAATGCTTCTGTGTCAGGTCTAAAGGAGCAGATCTGGGGTGATGGGGATGTGGGTGCTTTGTTATTTTCTTGGAACATTTTTGTTCCTTTTTCCTCTTTGAAAAGAAAGTTATCTGAAGTCTACATAAACTAGCTTTAAGGATTGACTGGTAAAGAGATTGGAAACCTTGAGGTTAAATTTGGGTTCATCGCGGGACCGAATGAATGGGTTGTGGTTTTGCACTTCTCTTTGCTACTAGGTACATGAGTGGGCTTTTTTTGAAGAACACTGTTGATCTCCTCCCTTAAAAATCATTCCCTTGAGTCTTTGCAAGCTTTTATGTTTGTCTGTTTGCATTTAATAACAACTGAGAAGCTGCTCTTAAACAATTTTTTCAGTAATTTGTAACGCACCTACTTTTGCTGCCTGCATGCAGTTTCCTGGGACACAGGTGTGTGAAGCAGCTTCCTACTAGCACCAGACTCATGCAGAAGCAGGCCAGTGCTCTGCAAGGTCTGTATAAGGGTCCCCAAGGGCAGGAGAGGTCACATGTGGGTCCAGTCTTGAAGAGTGCAAGATCCTCAGGCAAATAGGCAGATGGGAAAGGATAAGGGGATGTGTGTTTAAGACCCTGAAGAGTTTGGAAAGTAAATCAGAGTGGGGAAGTGGAAGCTGGAGTGAGATGCTGGCTCTGGCTTAGCAGGGGACAGCTGCTTTATCTCCAGGAGAGCCCTTCAGGAGGAAGCTGGAAATTCAAGTCTTAAATTAGCCTGCCTTGTGAGGACTGGTGCAAAGAGGGGACTGGAGGCATTTGTGTGAGGAGCACTGCTCTGGACCAGGTTCCCAGGTATCTCATCTGCAGAGAAGTTAATAGTTGTGCAGCACTGAGCACAATGTCTGTCACAAGACAGTAAACGTTAGTCACTCTCGGTGGCTTTAAGAGCAGCTACACAAAAGTGATTGTCTTTGAATTGCCATTTATGGCGCAACTCCGCTGGCAGCTGACAGACTCTTCCTTGCTGGCTTTCTTGCAGGGAGGGCCTGGTGTGGACCAGCAGGCTGAGTTCGTGGTTAGGTTTGTGCACCCTACCTAGTGTCACAGCAGAAGGCAGCTTGTAAGCGCCTCTCAGTCCAGGGCCATTTGAACTAAAGTGAAGACCTGGGCCAACAACCTCCCTATGGGAATGTTCTAGGGAGGTGGACACGAGAGCTTGTCCTTACAACCTCCTGGCCCTGGGCGTTTATTGCAGGATGTCCAGAGTTCCAGAGTTGGACCATGGTATTGTTGCCACCTCAGCATGGGCACAGCCTGCCACTCCCCTGAAGTAGCTGCTTTGGACGGAGGGAGTCCAAGCAGCTCCCCTGTGAGGCTGCTAAGTGCCCAGTGAGGAGCAGAAACAACCCTGGGTAGGGTGGGCCTGGCCCAGCCTGAGTTTAGCCTTTGTCCATCCTGGACCGGGCTATTTAGAGCCACCTGTAAGTTGCTGTCCCCTTTTTGTGGTTTGTTGGCTATCTAATGAGTTATCTCTCCTGTCTGCTACTGGGACACAGAGAGGGTGAAGTCAGCCAGCAAGTCATGGTCATGAGTGTTGGCAATAGGAAGTGGACTGTTTTAGGAACTTATAGAGGGAAATCTGAGTCAGAAACAGGACTCGGGCAGGGACTTGGTATTTACAGTGGCTGTAAAGGCAGGACATTTCCAGGGACCTCAGCTTCGGGCAGCTCTGCCTGAGACTTCCTAGTGGGTGTTCAGAATCATTCTGAGGATCTTACTTCTCTGGGAACTGGGGTTAGCATGTGGGACCATGCCTTGCCCTGGTGACTCGGTGCCACAGACTACATCTGAGCAGGCCAGGGAGGTGGGGTTTTGCAGGGAAGCTGCCCGCCCATCATTTGTCATCTAGCCCCTTGGGTTCTGCTCATTAAGAGTGAGCTCCTGCCTTTCTCTAGGCAGCAGCGGCCACCAGGGGAGCCACTCTAGGAAGTCCTCTGCCCCGATGTCCTTGTCCTGTCCATCTTTCTATCCACACTCCCCAGCACCATTTTGTAGGGTCCAGGCCATTCACCCTGCTCTCTCCCCAAGGGCACCTGTCGGGGACCAGTGTGGGTGGGGCACAGTCACTGCCTCAGGAAGTTCACAATCTGGGGAGGCAGGCGAGGACACACAGCCTGACAGAGCAGAGAGTTGAGGGACAAGAATGACCCCAGGCCTAACCAGAGGGTCTCGAGAGGCACCCCCAACCCCCTCTGCAGAGGCCACAGTGTTCAGAGAGGGCAGCAGTGGGGCTGTTTCCACTCTACTGCCCCCCCCATACAACTTGCTCCTTTTCTTCCGTTAGGTCTCAGCCTCATGCCTCCTAGTCACCCACCCACTGAGCTCAAATCTCAGTTCACACTCGCTTGTCGTGGGAAACTTGTGTTGTTTGACTGTGAGCCCCGGCTGTGGGCTTAGCACTGAGCCCCTGTGTCTTCAGTGCTAAGCATGGACCCTGGAGGATGCTAGAATGCAGAGTGGGATGGCAAACAACCTTTAACTTGTTTTTAAAATTTGGTTTAATTGTGGTCAAAAAACAAAATTGACCATCTTAACCATGTTTAAATACAGTTCAGCGGCAGTGAGTGCACTCCCACAACTGTGCAGCCGTGACCCCCAGCCATCCCCAGAACTCTTCATCTTGCAGGGCTGAACTGCCCGTTAAACACGAGCTTTCCCTGCCCTCCCCCCGGCCACCACTTTTCCATTTTCTGTCCCCGTGAATTCATCTATTCCAGGGACTGCAGATAAGTGGAAATCATACAGTATTTCTGTTTTTCCGTGACTGAAAGAAAAGAACTCCTTTCTCTTACTCTAATATCATCAAGGTTCATCCATGTGGTAACAAAGTGGAGAATTTCTATTCTTTTTAAGGCCAAATGATACTCCCGTGTATGTGTATGCCATATTTGGTTTATCCCTTCCTCATCAATGGGCATTTGGATTGATTCTGCATTTTAGCTGCTGTAATGTTAGTGTGAGAATGAGTGTACAAACATCTCTTTTGAGACACTGCTTTCGATTCTTTTGGGTGTAAACTCAGAGGTGCAATTCTTGGATCATATGATAGTTCTATTTTTAACCTTTTGAGGAACTGCCATACTTTCCCACAGCACCCGCCTCCGTTTGCATCCACAGCCACAGCGAACCAGGCTCCTGTGCTCCACGTCCTCCCGACGCCTGTTATCCTCCGTGTTTTCACTCTAGCCACCCTCAGAGGTGTGAAATGGTATCATTGTAGCTTTGATTTGCCTTTCCTTGGTGATTAGTGATATTGAGCCCATTTCCATGTGCTTACTGGCCATTCATATGTCTTGGAAAAATGTTTATTTAAGTCCTTTGTCCATTTTTTAATCTGGTTAGAGTTTTTTTTGTTGTTGTTGAATTGTACAGGTTCTTTATATATTCTGAATATTAACTCTATCAAACTTATTATTTGTAAATATTTTCTCCCATTTTGTAGGTTGCCCTTTTACTTTGTGTATCGTTTCTTTGATGCACAGAAGTTTTTCAGTTTGATGTAGTCCCATTTGTGTATAAATATTTTAAATCTTTTAATAATTGTGGATTTACAGGAAGTTGAAAGACAGTGCAGAGAGGGCGTGTGCACCTTCCCCCAGTTTCTCCCAATGGTTCCATTGTATAGAACATCAGTGCAGTGCGACACCAGGCGTCGGCATCAGCGTGGTGTGTGGTTCTCTGCTGTTACGTCACCTGTGTAGATCCGTGTGAGCGCCGCTGCAGTGAAGTAGAGAGCATAACCATTACCAGGAAGATGCCCTTGTTTTCCCCTCACAGTCGCACACCCTACCCCCCACGGATCTGCTCTCATCCCTGCAGGCCTGACATTTCGACAATGCCAGGTCAGTAGGGCTGCACAATATGTAAATCTTTGGGCATTGCTACTTTCACTCAGCATCCCGCCCTGGAAGATTTCAGCCAGGCTGTTGTGCATATCAGTAGTTTGAAGAACAAGTATTCAACTTGTGTTCAAGAAAAGAAAAGGAGCTTCTGGTCAAGATGGAGGCGTGGGTAAACATGGCTCACCTCCTCGCACAACCACAGCAAAAGTTACAACTAAACTACAAAACACCTATCACCCGGAATCGTCAAAAAATTGAGCTGTATGGAAGTCCCACAACCAAGGACTTAAAAAAGTCACATTCATTCACATGGGTAGGAGGGGCAGAGATGCGGAACAGGTGGTCCCACACCCATGTGTGGTGCCTAAAAATTGGGAGACATATCTCAGGAGTGAGGGATCCTGGCCGCACACCAAGCCACCCAGCCCAGGGTTCCAATGCCAGGAAGACAAATCCCCATAACTTCTACCTGTAAAAACCAGTGGGAACTGGGGCAGCAGAAGAAAGTACAGGATTCTCATGTGTTTCCTCCTAAAGGTCCCACAGTGGACTTAGGACTTACGCAGACTCACTCCCTCTGGGCTGCAGCGCTGGCTCAGCAGCTCAAAGGGCAGCAGTGGTGTGTGGGGAGAAACTGAAGTGTCTGGGCACAGCTTCCTCCTGCACAAAACTCCAGAGGCCAGGCAGCAGCCATTGTCTCTTATACTAAGTGAAATAAACCACTCAGAGAAAGACAAATACCGTATGATCTCACTTATATGTGGAATCTATTGAGCAAAAAAACACAAATGAAATAAAATCAGAGTTTTGGATACATGGAATAGACTAACAGTTGTCAGAGAGGAGGGGGCAGGGGAGACTGGAAGATCAGCCAAAGAACATGTGCATAGCTCATGGACACAGACGACAAATGTGTTGAAGTCCAGGAGTTGGGGAGAGGGGGCTAAAAGGGAGGACATGGGGACACCTGTAATAGTGTCAACAGCAAAAAAAAAAGAAAAGACAAGGAAACAGATAAAACACAATAAATTGTTGAACTTTAAGTAAATGGCTTTTATTCATCACAAGAGATAGTCCCTAAAACATGCCCATAAGATTCAGAAAACATAATGAAACTGTGAAAATATGGAGCAGGGAGAGGGCCCAGCCTCCTCCCTCTCGAGCCTCTCCCTCTGGTCCACATGCTCTCAGGCTGCTGGCACCCTGTGCTCATCTGGCTTTTTCGAGGCCAGGTGCTGAGGAACCCTAGTCCCCTGAATGAGTGAGTTCTGTCCCTTGTCTCTAGGCCATGCGAGGTCACAGCCTGGCCCCAGAAACTATTTCGATGTCAGAAGAAATGCTCTGTGGTACCTCACTCTGGGCCACATCCTTGTGGGGGGAGTAACTGTCTCATGTAATTGAGCTGTTTTTATGACAAGTGACAAATAAGATGGAAGTGACCCCAACGCCTTTTTCTGTAGGCTTCATCTGTCAGGGTGGGTGGCAGTACCGCTGTTCCCATTTTCTTTTCACAGTCCGACTCTCAGTGCTGCCTGGGCATCGCTCAGCTGAGTCTGTCCATCTTTGTGCCCCATCTGCTTGGCTGGTCTGCATGTGTGGGCGCGTCCCCAAGGAGGTGTATTTGGCGTTGCTGTGTTCGGGCTTGCAGGCCATGCATGCTCCCAGATCATGTGTTCTGTCTGGAGTTGGGAACTGCAGCCAGTGCCAGGCCACCTCCTGGTTCGAGTTCACTCTCAACTGGGATCCCTTCCTGGGCCAGCGCAGTAGCCAGGGGACCTGGCCCCTCTGCCTGCCTTTCTCATCAGATTCAGCAGTTAGAGAGGATTGTCAATTGTTTTTAGAAGAAAGAACAACTATGTTCTCTCATTAATCACCTGTTCTACTGATATCTACCATATGTGCATAGAGAAAAGTGCGGAGTTGTGCAAGTAGAGCACGAATCTCACATATTACTACCCAAATGACTGCCCACTCCTAACCCCTGGGACCTGTGCACGGGACCTCACATGGAAATAGGATCTTTGCAAATGTGATCAGGTTAAGATGAGGTCAGCCCAGCATAGTCTGACACCAGAGACAGGTGTCCTCGTAGGGAGAAGGAAATCTCGGCACACACATGAGAAGGAGGCTATGTGACTACGGAAGTATAAATTAGAGTGATGTGGCCAGAAGCCAAGGAATTTCAGGGATTTCACCCATCAGAAGCTAGAAGAGGCAGGGAGGAGCCTCCTTGTCACCCTGGAGAGGGAATACTTCCTGTGGACACCTTGAGTTTGGACTTCTGGCCTCCAGGCTGGGAATGAATAAGTTTTTCTCTATTTAAGCGCCCTCCCATCTGTTGTAATTGTTTACAGCAGTCCAGGGGATTCAGACACCCCCACCCCCCAATCAGTCAATGTCCTTTGATCCCCATATTGCCCCTTGCTTTTCCTGTCCCCTCCATAAGTAGCCACTCGAGGCAGCACAGGTCGTTTCCCCTGACTGCCGACGTTCTATAGCAGAGTCGCAGTGCACTCTGGCTGGATGTGCGTTGTTGAGTGTGCAGCAGAGTAAGTCCCTGTCCTGGCTGCTTGTTTCCCTGCTGCGTGCAGGGCTGCCAGGTGAAATGCAGGGCGCCCAACTGCGTTTGCATTGCAGAGAAACAGTGAGTCATATTTGAGTTCAAGTATGTTCCATGCAATATTTGGGAGATGCTGAAGCTAAAACATGATTTGTTCTTTCTCTGAAATGAAAATGAACTGATACCTGTGTTTTGTTTCCTAGTCTAGCCCTCTGCCATGCCCCAGCAGTGGGTATGAGAGAAGTCACACTCCTGGTTGTCCTCTGCGTTTGACCTGTGCCCTGGGTCCTGGATGTGGCCCCACTTCAAAGTGGGAGGGCTCTGGGTTCTGAGGGCACCCCTGCCCTGGGGGAGGAGGTGCCTCAGACTGCGTGTCTGTGGAGTTGGCCTGGAGGCCTGCGGCACGCACCCCCTGGCAGAACCACTTGATTTCATGATGGGGACATGGGGTGGGGGGCAATGACATAAAAGCTCCCAGAGAAAGGACCCAGAGTGCCTGATGTTTTTTGGTCAGAAGGACAACAACATGGTTGCCTGCAGCCCCAGGTTCTGGTGGCCAGCAGATATCTAATCCCTGAAGTGCCCTAGAGCAAGGGAGGGCAGGGCCCCTGAGATAGGGAAGGCCCAGGTGCCCCATTCCATGCTGGGCCTCTTGGGGACAGGCTGCAGGTGGTGGGGGCAGGCCCGGGTCCAGCACCGGCCTTGCTGTCATCCCACACAGCAGGTGTGGGTCTGTGTTCCCCATTCAGGGGCAGATGAGGCCAGGCTCTCCTGGTGGGGTGCTGATGGCCCTGTGGCTAAGCGCCCTGTCATTTCTCTTTTGTTTCCAGTTACCTCATTCGGCATCTTTCCAGATTGGACAGATGAGCAACATGGAGCTCGACGATGAGCTTCTGAACCCAGTGAGTAGGAATCATTCCTGTTTATCCCCAGCAAAGATAAGGCCTGCTGTGTGGAGCTGCAGCCTGGCAGAGGGCAGACAGAAAATGCCAAACCAGAGGATGGTGGATGTGGGGAGGGCCATGTCGGGCTCTGGGAAAGACGTAGGCCATTCTCTGCAGAGCTTAGGGACAGACAAGGGCAGGGCATACAGAGCTCGGAGACAGACAGGTGCCATCCAGAGCTGAGAGACAGGATGAGGAGCAGATTCTGGGTAACCAGGGAATGCGGTTCCAAGGGGCCATGTTCCTTGAGGCCAGGACAGATGAACAGAGACTAGGAAGATGTGTGAGAGGTATGGAATGCTGATTGAGCATGTTGCGTGTAGATGCAGGAAGCAGGCTGGGGGGCAGGTGCCGTGGTGGAAGGGGGGACCCAGCTAGCCTGGAGGAGGGCCCTGGGGGCAAGGTGGGCATCTCAGGGTGGGTGTCCCTGGACAGCGGTGATGTTTTCTTCTGCCCCTGTGCCAGGGCCAGATGGTCCAGCAGCTGCCAGGGGAACATTTCCTGAGCCCCTCCCCCAATCTCGCATTTGACTTCCTCAGGTGTTTGATGGTTCTGGTTTTCATTTCCAGTGACGCTGAGCATCTTTCCTGTGCCAGTGGCCCTTTTGTTTTCTTTGGAAAAATGTCTATTTAGATTCTGTGCCCATTTTTAATTGAGATATTTGTTTTTTCTAATTGAGCTGCAAGAGTTTTTATACATTTTTATATAGTTTAGACACAAATTGCTCATCAGGTACATGATTCACAGAAACTGTTTCCTGTTCTGTGGGTGTCTTCTCACTTTCTAATGCTGTCCTATAAAGCACAAAAGCCTTTATTTGTTTTTTTAAAGATTTCATTTATTTACTAGTAGAGAGAGGGAGAGACACATCAATGTGTGAGAGATACATCGATTGGTTGCCTCTTACACACCCCCAGCTGGGGACCTGGCCCACAACCCAGGCACATGCCCTGATCGAGAATCAAACCACTGACCTTTCTGTACATGGGCTTTGATGAAGTCTGGTTTATTTATTTTCTTCTGTTGTGCTTTTGTTGTATCTAAGAAACCATTTCCTAGTCCAAGGTCATAATGACTTATTCCTGTGTTTTCTTTGAAATATTCTACAGTTTTAAATCTTGATGCATTTTTTACTAATTTTGTGCAGGTGTAAGATAAGAGTCCAAGTTCATTGTTTTGCACTTGGATGTCCAGTTTTCCCAGTAGCAGTCTGTGAAAAGACTATGCTTCCCCTATTGAACTGTCTTGGCACTCTTGTCTAAAATCAATTGACCATAAATGTGTGAGGGCGTATTTCTGACTCTCGATTGCTTGCCATTAGTCTCAGTGTCTGTCCTTGAGCCCACACAACTGTCTTGACAGCCATAGCTTTGAAGTCAGGGTGTTAGAGTTTTCTACCCTGTTGGTGCTGAGCACCTCCACATAAGGATACTGCCCTTGACAACCAGGTATTTCAGGCCAAAATGCCTTTTTCTGTGGGCTTCGTATGTCAGTTGGACGGCAGTATCTCTTTGAGATCCCTTGTATTTCCATATTGATTTTAGGATCAGCTCGTCAGTTTCTTCAGTGATGCCAGGGGGAATTTAGGCAGGAATTATGTTGAATCTTAATATTAAGTCTTCTGAGGAATGCAGAATATTTCCGTTTATTTCAACAATATTACATAATTTTTAACATACAAGTCTTACGCTTTTTAAAAAAGATTTTTCTTTTATTTTTTAGAGAGTGGGGATGGGAGGGAGAGGGAGGGTAACATCAGTGTACAAGAGAAACATCAATTGGTTGCCTCTCACACACCCCAAGCTGGGGACCTGGCCCGCAGCCTGGACATGCGTCCTGACCAGAAGTCAAACTGGCGACCTTTTGGTTCACAGGCTGGCACTCAATCCACCGAGCCACACCAGTCAGGGCTAAATCTTACACTTTTGTTAAATGAATTTTAGGAATAAATTTCATTTCCTATATTTTACTTTTCGTGCTGTTGTGAGGAGTTTCCTTAATCTCACTTCAGTTGCTGAGTGCCAGTGTGTAGAAGCGCACTCAGCGGTAGTGTGCTCATGCTGTGGCCTTCGGTCTCACCCAGTGCCTGTTAATTCTACCCGTGTTCAGTGACTTTAGGGAGATTTTCCACGCGTGGGACCATGCCATTTGCAAATAGAGTTTCACCTCTCCCTTTCCAATCGGAATGCTTTTCAGTTTATTCTCTTGCCTAATTGCTCTAGTAGACCCTCCAGGACAAGGCTGAGTAGCAGTGGCACGAGGAATTTTCCTTGTCTTGTCCTGATCTTGGGGGAAAGCTCGGTCTTTCACCATTGAGTGTGTTGCTACCTTTAGCAGGTTGAAGAAACTCCCTCTATTCCTTGTTGTTGAGCATCTTAATTATGAAGAGAAGTTAAATTTTGTCAGATGCTTTTTTTATGTCTGTTGAGATCACGTATATTTTGTCCTTTATTCTATTAAAATGGTATTAAACTTTTCACCCACAAACTTCTAACACTAAATGTGTAGGTTTTTTTCCTCACTCCAGCCAGTTCTACTTGCCAGATAGCACCTGGATGTCATGCAAGTCAGTTCATTCTGACACTGACTGTGTGATGTTGGCACAGACCCGATGGGCTGAGGGTTTGGTCAAGACCATCCGCACTTCAGACCCAGTCATAGGTCCAGGTAGTCATATGTGCTTGTGACTGACAAGGTTTAAATTGCAGTTCCCTTGCCCTGGCTGGTGTAGCTCAGTGGATTGAGTGCTGGCCTGTGAACCAAAAGGTCGCCAGTTCAATTCCCAGTCAGGGCACATGCCTGGGTTGCAGGCCAGGTCCCCACTTGTGGGTGTGCAAGAGGCAACTGATTCATATATCTCTTCTACATTATCATCATATCTCCCTCTCTTTCTCCTTTCCTTTCCTTCTCCCTACAAATAAATACAATCTTAAAAAAAATAAATTGCAGTTACCATGACCCCCTCCTCAGATTCCATGATGTGCTAGAAGTGCTCCCAGAACTCAGGGAAAGGCTTCACTTCCGCTTACTGACCTATCATAAGGACACACCTGGGGAACCGCAGACCGCGGATGCAGGGGGAGGTGCGGGAAGGGGGGAAGCGCCACCCTCCCAGCGCCTCGTGTTCACCGGTCCTAAGGCTCCCCAGCCCTTCACTTAGGGTTTTTATGGAGGTTCCGTTACACAGGCTGATTAAGCCACTGGTGATTAGCTCCGTCTCCAGTCCTACTCTCCATGGAGGTTAGGACTGAAAGTTCCTATCCTCTAATCACATGTCTCTGGCAGGCAGCCCCCATCCTAAAGCCTAGGAACTGCCATCTTCGCTCTATCTCATTAGCTCCCAAAAGATACTACCCAGAGATGCCCAGGATTTTAGGAGCCAGGTGCCAGGAATTGGTACAAAGACCAAAAATATATTCTCCAGTTGATTTGCCGGTGTTAAATCACATTTGCATTCCCGCTGTGTTGCGGGATCCAACCTGCTGGCGTCTTGTTGAGAACTTTGTGTCTGTTCACGAGAGATGTGCGTTTGTAGTGGGTTTCCTTTCTCCTGGTGTTCGTGTCTAGCTTTGGGGTCAGGAGAGTAATGGCTTTGTGAGACGAGTGGACACGTGTTCCGTCCTCTCCTCACTTTTGCTTCATTCTTCAATGTTGCTAGGTCACCAGTGCCCATCTCTGCCTCTTCTTTTGCAGGAGGTGGACCCCTCTCACCCTTTCCCCAAGGAGATCCCACACAACGAGAAGCTCCTGTCCCTCAAATATGAGGTGGGCCCCCTCCCTGGGTGCCCCTGCCCCACGCAGCCCCAGGCACTCCTCCCCTCTCCAGCCTCATGCCTTCCAGCTGCCCGGCGTGAACCTGGGACATCGAGGTTGGTCATTGTGTTGTCTCTGCTGCCCTGGTCTACAGAGCTTGGACTATGACAACAGTGAGAACCAGCTGTTCCTGGAGGAGGAGAGGCGCATCAACCACATGGTGAGTGTGGGCCAGAGCCTGGGCACTGCCCCGCCGACCCAGGGGCTGGTCTGCTGCTGCTCTCACACCTGGGCATGGCGATGTGTGCCCTTCTTTCTCCCCTTTGTCCTCAGTCCCTGTGCTGTGGGTTCTGGTTTGTGTCACCCAACACCCGGTATGGGAAAGGGTGTTGTGTCACATCCCAGTCACAACAAAGAAGGCTGGTCTCAGACATATCAGCTACAGCATCTAGAATGTCAGTGACTAATTACGGGTTGGTTGGGAAGGTCCACACACAAACCCCCAACCCCAGTGCTCCATTGTCTCTGACACACTGACCAGAGGCTGCCCTCGTGGACTTGGGGATACAGAGTGCCGCGCACCATGCATGGCGGCGGCGGCCTGCGGAATGCCAGGTCAGTCGTGTTGTCAGCACAGCAGCCTGTGGTTGATGTCTTGCCACTGCGCCTGCCTCTGGCTGGCGCCTCCCCCGCAGGCCTTCCGGACAGTGGAGATCAAGCGCTGGGTCATTTGCGCCATGATAGGGATCCTCACGGGGCTCGTGGCCTGCTTCATCGACATCATGGTGGAGAACTTGGCTGGCCTGAAATACAAGGTTGTCAAGGACAGTATCCTTACTAGAAGGTGCGCGGCACAGACAGGTGGAGCTCAGAGCAGAGCACAGGGTCCCACAAGTGGCCATGCCACCCAGAGCGGGCCCGAAAGGAGGCATCTCTGGGTATTTGCCCTCCAACTGGGGGAGGTGGGCCTGGGCGGGTAGCATCTCTTGCTGGGCCGTGGGATGTCTCTGAGATGTACAGTTAGACAGAGGTGTGGTGGGGCTGGGGGTGTGGCACCTCAGGTGGTGAAGCTGACAGTCTTCCTTGATGAGCCAGATATCGACAAATTCACAGAGAAAGGGGGGCTGTCCTTCTCCCTCCTGCTGTGGGCCACGCTGAACTCGGCGTTCGTGCTGGTTGGCTCTGTGATTGTTGCCTTCATAGAGGTATGGCCATGAGGGAGCCCTGGGTGGTGGGAGCTCCTCCAGCTCACCTACTGCAGCTTCTGCCAGTGAGGTTTGCATGGTCACATTGGTGCAGATGTTGAACAGTTCAGTAAGAACAGAACATGTATCTGGGCCTCCCTGCCCAGCACCTTTCACAGCGAGGACCATGGGGGGAAGCATACAACCCATGTCTAGGGGGTCCCTAGGGTTTGCACAGCTGACCCAACCCAGTGTCCAGGTGGAGGGGACCCTCCCACCCCCACCTGAGGGGATCAGACATGCCTAGGGGCCCGTCATTCCAGGACCTCTCCCAGAAGCCCTTCCTGTGGCCTGCCTCTTCCCTTGTCATGAGGTATTGGAAGGAAGAGGGGAAAGCATCTAGAAGCTTCTATCTGGGGTGCAGTGCTCCCCCAGGGAGTTTAAGGAACTCTAATTCCTTCCAGCTAGTACATGATGTGTACCTCCCATCTGTCGTAGAGCATCCCCACTCCATCCCCACTCCATCCCTGCCTCCTTCCCCGTTGGGAGGCACTGGGCCATCTCCATTCCCAACCCTTCCCACATCCCACAACATTTGCACCCCTCAGTGGTCATTCTACATCTGGGGTGGGGAAAGGTGAGAAGCCTCTCTCCCAGGCAGCAGTCCTATTCAGTTCCAGTTCCGTGTTGGCCCCTCCCCCCATCTCAGGCACCATGAGGCTGGGTCTCCCTGGACCTATGGCTCCTGAGCTTGGCCAGCTCTGTGTACACTTCCCTCTCCTTTCAGCCAGTCGCTGCTGGCAGCGGGATTCCCCAAATCAAGTGCTTCCTCAATGGAGTGAAGATCCCCCATGTAGTCCGGCTCAAGGTGAGAAGGTGAACCTTGGTTGGGAGCATGGTGCTCATCGTTGGGGTTCTGTGCTGCGTCAGAGCCTTTTGTCATCCACCCGCACCGCCAAAACTCACCCCCGCCCATTCTGTGTGCTGCTGACAAGCCTGTGTCTAGATGCACTGGCAGATTTTTTGTAAACTTTCTTTGGAAAGTGGTAAAAACTTCCTCTGCACGTTTGAAACAACACAGCAGCACGCCAGTGGTGCACGTGCTATGGTCGCAGCTATGCGTAAGTTCTCCATGGTGGTTAACGCTCCAGAGGAGAGTGCCTGTGTTTGGAGGGGAGACGCATTTTCCACTTGTCAAAAATTTTCCTAATACTCATCGTGCTTAATGTTCTTGACGACATGCTAACTCTGAGGGGGCTGGGAAGTCAGGCGTTCTCCTGTGGCCATTTCGGTAACTCAGTCTGCCTGTCTCAGCCTGGGATTTGCTCATGCTTTTCTCCTGCCCCTGTGTGGGGAGCCGATGCTCCTGGGAGCCTGGAGTCCTACAGCCCAGGAGTGTGGCAGTGGTGGGCACATGGGGGAGCAGCATGACCTCAAGGGGAGGGTCGTGCTGGTGCTTCCGAGTGCCCTCTTTGTCACTCATGTGTGCTAGGATGTTTACATTATTGGTATTGCATCGTGTGCAGTACTGTGGCTCAGGTTCTCAGACTGTGTGTGGCTTCTAATCAGAGACTTGATACATTTTCCTTTATATTGCAGACCCTGGTGATCAAAGTGTCTGGTGTGATCCTATCCGTGGTGGGAGGACTGGCCGTGGGAAAGGTAATGGAGCCCGAGGGGCATCGCTTTGGCCTGAGTCCCTCTATAACCCATGTTCTCTCTGGACTCGCCTGATGTGAGCTGTCCTGTGCTTCCCAGGAGGGGCCAATGATTCACTCAGGCTCCGTGATTGCAGCTGGGATTTCCCAGGGGAGGTCAACGTCGCTGAAGAGAGATTTCAAGGTGAGTTCTCTTGTGATACAGATCTTGAGGATGAGGGTAACTGTGTGTGTCAAAGAGCAGGGTCTCTCCTGCTCTGTACAGGTGTGCTCTGCCAGGACTGTCCCCGATAGTGAATCTGAGGGTCCCCTCAGTGGCCTGCCCTGGGCAGCTGTCCTGGGGCCCGCCCAGGGATCCTACTCGGAACCTGACCCAGTGCGTTGTGGGGACGTGCGTTTTTCTGAGGAAGTGGCCTGTAGCTGTGAATAGCTTCTCCAAGGGCTGGATGACCTAGAAAGAGGTCAGGAATGACCTGCCTGCAGTTTAAAGATGCTAAATTTTTAAGATACACTTCAAAATAATTTTGTCAAGTTTCACCAAAAACCACCAGGCTTTTGATGGGTATCGCACCGAATTTATATATGAATTTAGAGACAGTTAACATTTTTACACAACAGACTCTTTTTAAATCAAGAACACGCTTAAGTTTTTCATTTATTCAGTTTTTGTTAGGTTTTTTGGTGGAGTTTTGGGTTTTTAATGTGTCTCTTGCACAGATCATAAAGTTTAATTCTTGGTGTGATGGATCTCTCTTTATTTTCTCATGGTTGTTGGAATGTGAGGGAATTCTTTTCGTTGCCTCTTTGGTTCTTCAGTCTTTGTGAGTCCGGTAGTTGATGAGTTGACTGTCTGGAGACTCCCTTTCTCTATGCCCACCTCCTCCCTGTCCCCATCTCTTTCTTCCTTCCGTCCCCCTCCCCTTGGCCCCTGCCTTGGTGGCCTCTAGCCAACCATCTGCCTTTGTGAGAAGTGCCCCTGGAGAAGCCGGCGAAGACCCTGTCCCTGTCTGCTCTGTTCCCATCTCAGATCTTCGAGTACTTCCGCAGAGATACGGAGAAGCGGGACTTCGTCTCTGCAGGAGCTGCGGCTGGGGTGTCTGCTGCGTTTGGGGCCCCTGTGGGTGAGTAGGCGCCCTGCCTGGTCTGACAAGTCACTGCCTGTGTTGCAGGAGCCAGGCCGTCCCTGTCATGTGAGGGAGTAGTCTAGGTGTTTGCAGACTTGGGTGCGGGGTGGTGATGAAAATGTGGGCTGCCTCCCGAGAGGCCCCATGGCTGCCTCTGATGTGGGCTTGGTGCCCTGGGGCTAGGGTACGAGGGGCTGGGGGCATGGGCTTCTTATGCTTGGGGCTCCCTGTGCCTGGGCGGGAACTTCAGGGCTGGGCCCCTGCATTCCAGGCGGGGTCCTCTTCAGCTTGGAGGAAGGTGCCTCCTTTTGGAACCAGTTCCTGACGTGGAGAATTGTAAGTGCCCACAGACGGCGCCTCTCCCTAGGTCAGGCAGTGCCCACATCTGACCTCAGTGGCCTCTCTGTTCCAGTGGATACCATGCTCTGGGTCCACACCTGACAGCCCTTACCCGAGGTTCCTGTTGAGCAGTGGCAGGAGCCATGCCCCCTGTGGGTCATTATGGCCCACCTCGGTGCCTCACTTGACCCTGAGGTGTTGCCTCCTCCTACCACCTGTCCTTCCTCTGTCAGTCGTCACTGTTTCTACCTGCTACTCTTCAGTGCTGCACTGGGAACCCCCAAACCTTGCACACCTTCTTCCCTCAGCTCCGCCCCGGCTGGGCCCCAGACTCATCCAGCAAAAGCTAGAGGCTCCACACTTGCCTGGCTTACCCAGCCTTGAGGGGCCTGGCCATTGAGGTTCCAGATTCCTTCCCTTTAGCCTTTGGAGGGCCACCAGGGGCCTCCTGAATGACAGGAGCAGAGGCAGCCCCCTCTCTTGCAGTCCCCCCGACTCCAGGGGTTCATCTGGGTCGGCACTGTTGTTCTGATGGTACTCACTTGTCTCTGTCCCCACAGTTCTTTGCTTCCATGATTTCCACCTTCACACTGAACTTTGTGTTAAGCATTTACCATGGAAACATCTGGGACCTGTCCAGCCCAGGCCTCATCAATTTTGGAAGATTTGATACGGAGGTAACATGTCCCGCTCATTGTTTCTGGTTCTTGGTGTGGGGCCATGGCTGTATATCTAAGGGTCAGCCCTAGAACTTGGACTTTTGGGAAACTCCATTTCTTTGTTGGAAATTGAGCTCTTGTTTATAAGCACCAGGGGCCTTGGCTGGCATGGCTCAGTTGGTTGGGCGTTAACTCTTACAGCAAAAGGTCACCAGTTTGATTCCCAGTCAGGGCACATGCCTGGGTTGCGGGCCAGGTACCCAGCTGGGGACATGTGAGAGGCAACCGATCAATGTATCTCTCACACATTGATGTTTTTCTCCCTCTCTGTCTCTCTCCCTTTCCCTCTCTCTAAAAATAAATAAATAAAATCTTTAAGAACAATAATAATAAGCACCAGGGACCAGAGGTGCTCTAGAGAAACACACATCCAACTGGGCAGTGCAGGGTAGGGTGAAGGCATTCTAACCCAGGGGGCACTCCAGGGGCATCTCGGCCGTCTGCAGATTGTTGGACAGTGACACTGAAACATGTTGTGGGGCCTGCTCACACCCCAGCTTACGGAGGGCGAGCAGGAGCAGGCCGGGTCCCTAGGGAGGCCTGGCGCACACGCTGCAGGCAGCGCGCACTGCAGGGAGGACCTGCTCCCAGAACACTCACTCCCAGGATGTGGGGACACGGACACGTTGGAGCTTTTGGGTTGTCCGGGTCACTAGAGGTGTTCATCAGGTTCTTCCTCTTGCCCTCCTTGACGCCCCTCTGTCAGAGCTTGAGCCGTCCCCCTTCTCAGGTGGACGCATGCCTGGGTGAGGAGTAGGTGAAAGCCTTACAAAGATAAAGCTTCACAGGGCCTCTGACCACCTTGCAGACCAGCCCATGTGAGAAGTCACACCGTCCACCCCAAATCCCCCACGTGTTTCCTGTGGGTCCTGCACAGCGCTGTGTGAAAGTGCCAGGCTGTTCCCGTGCATGAGACAGATGTGTAGCACCTCCAGGCCTCGAGTCTGGTCTGAGTGGCAAGATGCTGGTGACAAGTTTCCTCACAGAGCGTCTGCTCTTCTCTTTTGCACAGACGATGGTGTACACGATCCATGAGATCCCCATCTTCATCGCCATGGGAGTGGTGGGTAAGGGCCATCCCAAGCAGGACACCAACCTGCCTGACCCCACCCTTCCCCATCACTCAAGATGGCAGCCAGCACCTCCCAGCAGGAGCAAAGCAGGCGGTATGGTCAGGGCCTGCGGGCCTCCAGGCCTGGCTCTGCTTTGAAGTGGCTGGAGAGGGCTGCAGCCCCTACACTCTGCTCACTGCTCCAGGCCACCTGGGGAGGAAGTCCACACTTCAGGGACCCCGGAGCTCTGCTCCATTGGGAAAGCCGTGTAAGAAATAGATTAGGCCCCGGACAGCACTTACTACTCTGTGAAAGCCTTTTCCCTGAAAGGAAGGCAAGGCCTTTCAGAAATAAGCCCCTGTCTGTCCACCAGGGTGTGGCAATGGAGGACAGGTGTTTTCACAGACCATCCATCCCCTCCTGTCCCCACCTTCTCCCTCTGCTGCCTGGGCAGCCTCCATCCTCCTTTCGTGTTCCTTATACATGGCTCCTTCCCGATCTCAGGTGGTGTTCTTGGGGCTGTGTTCAATGCCTTGAATTACTGGCTGACGATGTTTCGAATCAGGTGAGAAACCTGTTGTTTCACGGCCCCAGTGAAAATGTACATGTTGCGGGCTGTGTGCCCACGGGGCCACACAGAATGCCCCATGCTGGTGTGCATTTCTCTGCGATGGTTTGTGCAGGAAGGGGACAGACCAGTATGTGGCCCGGGGACAGGTGGGGTAAGGCCAGGAAAGGCCTGGCTGGGGAGGCACTGCCTGAGCGTCCTGGCCTGGGCCTGGCCCTCCAGGGCCGTCTTGACCCACGGCACAGTCAGCTGGCATGGCTGCTTTTGCCATTAGGACAGCCATTACTGGAGTTTGTGGGCGCTGATTCCGGGCTTGGGGAACACTTCCTCCTCATCCTCTTGCACTTAAATGCGTTGGAGAGCATCCAGGGGGTTTTCTGAGGACGTGCAGGAGTCTGGGTGGACTGGTGCTTGAACGTGCTGTGTCACCCTCCTAATCGGTGTTGTATCAGTGGCTCTCAGTGAGTCACAGGCTTAGGTTGCCATGGCAACTGCCCAGGTGTCTGGAGGCCTGGTTCATCCCAGTGTTTGTTCTAGGTACATCCACCGGCCCTGCCTCCAGGTGATTGAGGCCATGCTGGTGGCCGCCGTCACAGCCACTGTCGCCTTTGTGCTGATCTACTCATCCCGGGACTGCCAGCCCCTGCAGGGCAGCTCCGTGTCCTACCCACTCCAGGTAGGAGGTTGGACTCACCAAGCGGAGGCCAGGACAGGTCCTCCAAGGAGGAGCACTCCCCTCTCCTGGCAGGAGGGCAGCTAACATAGCAGAGCTCCAGAGCTCTGGGCTGAATAGGCTGGCGCCTCTTCTGAGGGGGTTAGGCAGCCTGTTGGGTGCCAGGAAAGCTGGCTGTTACGTGGAGCTGGAGACTCACCCAGTCTTCCTCTCAAAACAGCAGCCTGACAAGGGCCATGGAGGACTTCAGAAGTGGGGGCTGTGGGTATGGACCGGAGAACCGTAGCCTGCCTCTCCTCTGAGGCAGCAACCCGACCCCATCCTGCCACGTGGCTGGCACTGGTGCTGGCCAGAACTGCCCCTTCCACTGGCCCATTCTCTCTCCCAACCTTGCAGCTCTTCTGTGCAGATGGCGAGTACAACTCAATGGCTGCAGCCTTCTTCAACACTCCAGAGAAGAGCGTGGTTGGCCTTTTCCATGACCCCCCAGGTGCGTGCCTGTGCTTCGTGCTGTTGGACGCACATCCCCGTGGGGCGCCGCCCACTCTGGCCTGGTCTGCAGCAGCCCACAGACCCTTGAGCACACAAGCCAGAGCAGATGGCGTCAGGCTTTTCTGCTGTGCTGCTCCATGGCAGCGTCCCACCTCTCAGGGACCTTAGGTTGTCTCCAGTGATTTTCTGTCGCAGATGAGGCTGCCAGAACTTTCCTGGTCCTAACCCTCAGTGCACGTGACAGGAACCCTCAAAATTTAACAGAAAGGCATTTAAATGAGTGGCAAAGCCAAGCCCTTTCTAGAAAGTGTCGAGCGAAGGCAGCAGTTGGCACCAGGCCTCTCCATGTGCTAGTTCAGGGTTTGCTTGGTGTCTTCCTGCATCTGGAAGTTATCTGGTGTAGAATGTGGCTGGTGGCCTTTCTCCCCTGACCCCCAGTGGTCTGCACTGTGATGCCAACTGTTTGCACACAGACTTTGGCGGACACATTCTCCTGACCTCAGGTCACTGTCCTGCTGGAGGCGCTGGGCCCTGCTTTCCCCGGCTGGGCGGGGTAACCATCCTCCCACCTCAGAGGACCCAGCCTCCAAAACTTGGTGCTCTAGCCTCAGAAAACAGGGGGTCTTCAGGGAACTCATCGTGTGTAGGGGTCAGGATGTGACCCGGAGGTTGCAATGGGTGGGTGGTTGGATGGACAGCCCTGCTTGGGCACAAGGCTGTATGACAGGCCCTGGCCAGCCCCTCTCTACTAGGCTCCTACAACCCTGTGACCCTCGGCCTCTTCACCCTCGTCTACTTCTTCCTGGCCTGTTGGACTTACGGGCTGACAGTGTCCGCCGGTGTCTTCATCCCATCCCTGCTCATTGGGGCCGCTTGGGGTCGGCTCTTCGGCATCTCGCTGTCCTACCTCACCGGGGCCGCAGTAAGTGAGGGTCTCCATGCACCATGCACACAGGACCAGAGCGGGGCTGGGGGGGGAGTACTGGTGCCCCAGCCTTGGAGCCACTGCGAGGGGGAGCGCTGGGCCCCCGGTGCAGGTGGTCAGCACATCAGAGCCTCTGGTCATTTTACTCCGCCCTAGTTTTCTGGCTGCTGCTGTGTGCTAGCCCCACGCCATTAGTGTGGCCGTCTCTGTGTGTGGTCTGGAGATGATACCAAGGAGACACGCTCGGGGTTTTCGGTGAAGGAAGGTGACGTGGAAGGATTGGGTGCCCCTGGGTGGCACCCAGGCTGTGGAAGGGGTGGCTGGCTGTGTGTGTCACAGGCTCCGCCTCGTGCCGCTCGGCCTGTGTGACCTCCCTCTGCCTGCCTGCGTGGACAGTTGGTTTTAATTTTACATTATTCCCTGTTCTTCCTTATTCAAATAAGTTTTTTTAAAAAGCTGTGAACAGGCAGCCGAGTCTGTCCCACACTGTCCCACCATTCACCCCCCTTGCCAGACTTGGGACACGCTGTTCTTGGGTCTCAGGTTTCCTGTCAGACACAATGTTTTGTGTTTTTCTAATTACAGCATGATTCATACCATAAATCCACCCTTTAAAAGTATAAATCGTTGTTTCTTTGGTGTGTTCAGTGTGTGAGGCCATTATTACTATGTAGGTTCAGGACATTTTCATCCCCCCCAAAAGAAACCCCTCCCTATTAGCATGCCCTGCCATGCCCCTGTCCAGCCCTTGGTGGCCGCTCCGTCTGCATTCTGTCTAAGTGGACCCGGCCTGTCCTGCCGCTTCGTGTGGGTGGAGTCACACACCGTGTGACCGTCTGTGTCCGGCTTCCCTCAGTTCCCAGAGTTCACGGTGCTGTGGTGCGTGTCAGATTTTTACTCCTTCGTGCACTCCCTCGGGTGGCGCAGGCGTTCTGCGCAGGTGACGGTCACTGCACACACCGTGCTGTCCCCCACCCCTGTACACACCTGTGTGTAGCTCTCCCTCCTCTGAACACCGAGGGTGTCCTCCTGTCTCGCGTTGCTGAGTTCTCCGGCATTTGCAGGCGGCATGACCCATTCAGGGCGTCCTGGATCTGGCCACTCATGGGTATTTCCAGACTTCTCTTGTTTCTGAGCAAGTGTAGGTTGTCTTGCACGTGTGTGCACACTCTCCTGCCTTTGAAATTACTGGGCCCAGGCAGGCTCTGGTAGTGTCATGAACATGGTGGGCCTGGGAGGGGGTTACCACCTTCACGTCACCTTCATGTCACCTTCATGTCATCCCTGCAGATCTGGGCAGACCCCGGCAAGTATGCCCTGATGGGAGCAGCTGCCCAGCTGGGTAAGTCTTGTCTGCCAGGAGGGCATCCCAAGGTCAGGAGAGGGAGGTGCCTCATTGGAGCTTGAAGACCGGGTATTCCGTTTACTGTCATCGGCCGCTCCCTAAGGGTGCACTTAGGCCCTGAGTGGGTGGGGCCAGGCCCTGCACACAGAACTTGGGCAGGCAAAAGCGAAGAGAAGTGGCCTACAGGGACCACCCATTTCTCACCCCAGCCCACCTCTCCCTACCCGGGCAGGTGGGATCGTGAGGATGACACTGAGCCTGACAGTTATCATGATGGAGGCCACCAGCAACGTGACCTACGGCTTCCCCATCATGCTGGTCCTAATGACCGCCAAGATCATAGGAGACATCTTCATTGAGGTGCAGCTGGTGGGGAAAGGCTGGCCTGCCCCTCAACTTTGCTCTGGGTCTCATCCCCATGCTGTGGTCTCAGAGCCTGAGAACGTGGGGACTCAGGCTCTGTGGCAGTAGTGGCAGTGGTGGCGAGAAGGGAGCCCCTGCGAAACCATCCCCCAAACAGCTTCTGCCTTGGTGGCAGGCACAGTGCACTTGGGACCCCTCCCTGATCGCTCCCTTGGTGTCTGGTGGTTGTGCCCTGGGACCCCTGCCCCCGTGTCACCACTGTGCACGATGCCTGCCCCTCTTCAGGGCCTGTACGACATGCACATCCAGCTACAAAGCGTGCCCTTCCTGCACTGGGAAGCCCCGGTGACCTCGCACTCGCTCACCGCCAGGTATCACGTTTCCCCTGTCTTGGTTTAGGCTGAAGGCCTGCAGGCCTGGGGCTTTCTCCTCACACTTAGGTTGGGGGCGGTGAGTGGTGCTGATGCTCGGGCGGGGCAAGTGTGGGTGGTCAGGAAGGAAGCTACACGCCCGCGTGCCGACATCTGGCTGTCAGGGCTATGGGCATCCCCAGGACTAGTTCTCCCAAGGCGGCATCTGGGGTCTGCGGCCACTGGGTTTCCTACATCCCCATCTCCTGGCTCACTGTGTCCAGCGGCTTCATGCCTGCTGAACTTCAGCCCTGGTGTGTAGAGGGGCTGCCAGGAACCCCCGTGGTCACATGGTTAATCACCACATGGCTGACAGTGAACGAAGTGCACGCTCTTCCACAGGGAGGTAATGAGTACACCAGTCACCTGCCTACGGAGGAGAGAGAAAGTAGGCGTCATCGTGGATGTGCTCAGCAACACGGCGTCCAATCACAACGGGTTCCCTGTGGTGGAGTCCACTGATGACACCCAGGTACTGGGACCTAGGTTGGGTGCCGTCTCCCAGGAGCCAGTAGCTTCAGGTCAGCTCCTGCCTCCCTTGACCTCAAAGGGAAGCCATCCTCTTCCCTGTGTACCTGTCAAACAGGGCATGTTGGGCAGGTATGGGTTGTGGGGATGGAGAGACCCCGTGTCTGGGTTTGTGAGAGAATTCTGCTATGAAAGTAGCCTGGTCACCTGGCTGTGGGAGCCTTGTCCCTGTGGGTGGGTCTGGTGGCACACCCATGTATCTCATACTCTGACCCTGAACTGCAGTGCGAGCTGCAGCCGCAGCCTGTGTCAGGAGAGGCCCTGACGGAGTGTGTGGCCCGTCCAGTAACGTGTTCCCGCAGGTCTGGGGAGAACTTTGTCAGGGCTAGGTCTGCGTCTCGCCCCGGCACCAAGGCGCTTTGGTCCTCGCTGTGTTGTGGCTCCCACTGTCCCTCCCAAGTGTTTGGAGATTAACAAGCTTGTGTAGGTGTAATGCTTTTGGCAAGGCCAGCACCAGTAGACAGTGGCCACACATTGATGAGGGGCATGATTGGCAGCCTGACTAGAGCCAAGGTTCCCAAGCAGACGTCCTAGAACTGCTGCTGAGTTACTGCCTGCCCTTCTGTCCACACCTCTGAGCTTTCTGCAGGGCCTGCAGCCAGGTGGGCAGGGCCATGGGCCTTGGGCGCTGCCCATGGACAAGGCCATCTGTTGTCTTTTGCTGCAGTCAGCACGGCTCCAGGGCCTGATTCTGCGCTCCCAGCTGATTGTTCTCTTGAAGCACAAGGTAAGCTCCTCGGCGCCTCCAGGTGGTGGAAGGTGCCAGGCTGGGTGCTGCAGTGTTGATATGCACCACCCCTGCCCGTCACCTGTTGCCTGCAGGTGTTTGTTGAGCGGTCCAACAGGGGCCTGGTACAGCGGAGGCTGAGGCTGAAGGACTTCCGGGACGCCTACCCACGCTTCCCCCCCATCCAGTCCATTCATGTGTCCCAGGATGAGCGAGAGTGCACCATGGACCTGTCCGAATTCATGAACCCTTCCCCCTACACAGTGCCCCAGGTACCTCATTCCCTCCTGCAGGGGTCAGGAGGCGGCCTTCGGTGGCCTGCCAGGAGGGGCTTGGGTGCAGTCAGCGGAAAAGTGGGAAGAGCTCCATCCTTACACTCAGGACAAGGTCTGGGGATGTGGGTGGCCGTGGCGCCAGATGCTGACCAAGCAGTGGAGGCGGGCAGGCACACGGAGAAGGGGTGGTTTAGGACACACATTGCTGTGCTGGCAGTGGGGGGTGTGATGGGAGGCAGCCGACACTGCGTGTGGTGGGGCCGGCAGGCAAACTGAGACTGTGCCCACGTTGCAGGAGGCCTCCCTCCCCCGGGTGTTCAAGCTCTTCCGGGCCCTGGGCCTCAGGCACCTGGTGGTGGTGGACAACCATAATCAGGTGAGGAGCCGTGAGGGCAGAGGGCCGTGCCCCTTGACCTGCCTGCCCCGGCCACCCCTGCACAGTTGCTCTCAGCTTCTTCAGGGCCACATGTCCACTTCGGGTCTCCTCCAAACTGCTACTCCCCTGAATGCTTCCAGAGGTAAGGCAGGGGCCACTGGATTCCCATGACCTGGCTTTGTTCCCACAGGTAGTCGGACTAGTAACGAGGAAAGATCTGGCCAGGTACCGGCTTGGAAAGGGGGGCCTGGAGGAGCTCTCACTGGCCCAGACATGAGATCCTGGCCCCGGCACTTCACCTGGGGTCCCCACCTCACTCCTCGGACAGCAGCCGATCCTTGTCCTCCAGACCTCAGGGATGACCCAGCTAGTGTGAGTGTGACTGTCGAGTGGGTGCCTTGTCAGTGTTCTACACACTCCCCTTTGCCTCAGCCCCTTGGTTGTCACTCTCCATCTTCCTGTCTCTCAGCCTTCAGGGATCGGATGTTCACACAAGTGCTCGCTTCCTGAGAGCCAGTGAGAGGTTGCGTGTGTGTGTGTGTGTGCATGCATGTATGTGTGTTCACATGTGTGAGCCAGTGAGTGAGCTGGGACCCGTGGTTCCAAGTGCTGCGGGCACCCAGGGCAGGGCCCTATCTCTGCTTCTTTGCTCCTTGTTCCTCTCCTTGCTGGCCCAGAAGGACAGTGCCACCTGTACCCTGCCCTGGGTGATACGAGGCCACGGCAGAAGCCTTTGGCCTTGCCCCCTCAGCTCATGCTGTGACCGTGAGGTGATAGGCCTGTGCAGCTGGGACCAACCTGGGCAGGGGCCCAGCAGGACAGTCCTGGAGAGCGGATGCTGGAGCACGCTCTGTAAGGAAGCTGGCTCTTCTCCCAGCTCACCATGTGTGCCCCCTGGGCTGTACCCCCACTTGGGGACTCCATGGGCCCTGTGATGGAGTCTTGGCCAAAGGAGAGCAGAGAACCACCGATGGGGCTGAACCCAAGTCCTACCACACTTCTGTCATCCCACGCTCTCTGGAGCTGGAGGCCGGATGGACACCTGTTGCCACCATGTGGATCTGGGAAATTGGGTCTTCTCATCATGGCGGGGAGGGCAACAAAGGCCTCTGAGGACCCCTGGCCCACGACGGTGTTCCTGGGCAGCTCTGATTGTCATCCTGGTGGCTGGGCTCTGGGGTGAGCTGGTGAGCCTGGAGCAGAGACCCTGTGCTCCTCTGAGGCCGGGTGGGACCAGTCCCATAGGACCTTTTTAAAAGGTGGTTCCCAAGTCCCCGGCCCATCTCTGATGGAGGGATTCAGATGCCTTTGTGGTGAGCCAGTGGTGCTGCACCTTGGTTTCAGGCCCTTAGAAGGGGGTGGGGCCTCAGATTGCAGGTCCTGTCCTGGTGGGCAGTTTCTGTGGCAGGTGGGGTTGGGGAGGAGCAGGTGTCCGATGTGTGGGATCGGAATGGGAGAAATAAACTGTGTCAGACAGCCAGTGCCCGCTTCCTGTTCCTGCTCAGCGTGGACCGTGGGGTGCGCATGTCGGGTGAGGCCCACTTCAGTGCATGGTGCAGGTGGGCAGCACCCTAGTGTGGACACCCCTAACAGGGAGACACCCAGAAACCTGGAGGTGGCGTGCAGCTGCAGCCCTTCCATACCTCAGGAGGGAGCTCCCCAGGCACCAACCACCGCATCCTCACTCACATGCCTGGGCAGCCGTTGCTCCTGGGGCGGCCGGAGAGTCAGGTGGGGGGCCTCTCCCCAGAGGCCCTTCTGTCTGGGCCGCCTTTCTCCTCGCTGCTCTGCGTGGCCATGAGGCGTGTGGTGCAGCTCTCCCTGGAGGAGAGGGTGACAGGAGTGTTCACCTGGTCACACAGAAGCCCCAGCCAGCCCTCAGTGGGTGGGTCTGGGCAGCATGGGTAGGGCCAGGGGCTGGAGCATCCGTCCCTGAAGTGAGACGTAAAATACCCTTCACTAGCCTTTGAAGACTCGGTGTGGAGAAAACAAGTACAGCATTTCGATCACTTTTTTGTATTAAATACATGTTGAAATGATGATATTTTAGATGACCTGGGTTAAATAAAATGGACTATTGAAATTTACTCGGTTTTCTTATTGTGGCTGCTAAGAAAGTTTTTGTCATTGAGTTGCGCTTTTTTTTTTTTTTTTTTTAGGTTTTATTTCTTTTTAGAGGGGAAGGGAGGGAGAAAGAAAAACATTGATGGGTTGCCTCACACACTCCCCAACCAGGGACTGAACCCACATCCCAGGCATGTGCCCTGACCAGGAATCAAACCAGTGACCTTCCACTTCGTGGGATGACGCCCAACCCACTGAGCTGCACCGGTCAGGGCACATCCTGTTGCTTTTGGATGGTCCCCCGGGGCCTCTGTGTTTTCAGATGCAGGACTGGCTGTGTTCAGTCTGGGGCCCCCGCCTTCCTGCTTTGGCCTGACAACTGCAGAGCCGGTAGTTGCTCCTTGGCATCCTCCTGCCCTGGCCGGGCCACAGGCCTCCTGTTCCCAGTGTCTGGCTGGCCGAACGGTGCCCCCTCAGATCCGTCCAGAAACAGGCAGTTGGGAAGGCCTTGCAGGACCGGAGAGTTGAAGACAAGGTTCCACTGGCAGTTGGGCTGGGAAGTCACAAGGTTCTGGTGAGGAGGAGAAGGTTCCAGAAGAGCCCTCACTGCCCCGCCTGCCTTGGTATTGTCTTGGAAGGAGGTGTGATGTGAGGACGGGAGCTCACCCCTTCATTCCCTGTGTGTTCCCCCTGAAAGGGTCCTGGAGCCTTTCAGATTTAATTTCCCTGCCTCCCTCCAGCCACTCCCCCCACCCAACTACCCCGGTTTCCTGCGTTGGGCAGTCACAGGGCACTTGGCCCCGGGCCTCTTGACAGTGGCCAAAGCCAAAGACTGGCTGCTGGTAAAGCTGGATCAGGTGAGCCAGGTGCCAGCTGGCGCAGAGGCCAGGAGGACAGTCCAGGGAGGGGACTGCATAGGGGTGTGGACCAATGGGACAGCTCTGCTTCCTGACCCCCAGGTTGCTTTACAGCCTGGGAGCTCCTTTTGGAGCTGGCCAAGCAGGACACTCCCATTTCTGCTGCCCAGGGCTATGTGTTCAAAGGCGGGGGTTGCACCTCTCTGAGCTTAAGCCTCCTGTCGTGGAGTATTGAGAGCCAAGCCCTCTCTGGGCTGGGCCGTGCCACTCAGCACAATGAGCCTGAGTGAGCTGGGAAGGCACACTTAGTGACAGTCGCACTGATTTCGGGTCCATGTTACCCTAAGCTCCATCCGGAAGCCAGCATCTCTTGTCACCCCAGAAGGCCAAGTGGTGAGCCTGAAGGTGCCTCTTGCAGAGCTGGCTGATAGCAACTGCTTGTCCGGAGCTTCGCCCCCCTCCCAGCTAAGCACTATTACCCTGGAGGACCTGGGGCACCTCGTGGAGGAAGGGCTGGCCAGCCCCGAGCCCCTGAGTCTGGAGGAAATCTCCGGGAGGTATGAATCCAGCCACGGGGCATCTACCACCTCTGTCCCAGAGCAGGACACCCCCAAGCTCTGGAAGCAGCTGAAGCAATGGTGAGCCCTGTGGGAGCAGGTTTGGAGAGCCACACATCAGCCCCACACGTGATGCCACCTCGGCCTGCTTCTCTCTCTGGCTAGGGTGACTAACCTGCAGGCCGAGGTGGCATCCCTACAGGGACACAAGGACCACTGTGAGCATGCCACACTGAGCCTGCTACGTGAGCTGCACCAAGTGCAGGCCAGTGTGCAGCTGCAAGACTCAGAGCTGAAGAAGCTGAAGCGAGAGGTACAGCAGGCAGCTTGGGCCCCTGAGAAGGAGACCCTGGAGGTGAGCCACCATTGGCTGGGAGGCTGCTTGTCCCCACCCACAAGCCAGGCTCCCCCTTTCCTGGGTGTTGGGGCAGCTGCTTCCTGGACCCTGAACTCAGCTCAAGCCGTGCTGCCCAGGCCAGGAGCCCAAAGAACCCCCAGAAGCTATGTCTGTGCTGGTCAGGCTGTGAGGGCCCATGGCCTGCACTCAGCCACACCCTCCTCCTTGCAGTTCCCCAGCCCCCAGAACCAGAACAAGATGCAGGCCTTGGACAAGAGGTATCCCCATACTCGTGGCGCAGGCCTTAGCAAGGGTGAAGTGGGCATTGGGAGAGCAGTAGCTGGTGCCAGGCCCACTGGGGCATCACCCACAGGGCTTTGTTTCCCCAACTAGTTGTCATGCGCAGGCAAGCAGTACATGCCCGTGGCAGCATTAAAAAGCTCTGGGTTTGTGTGAGCCTCAGCAGCCTACAGAGCCCTGGGAAAGGGGTGGGGAGCTTGCTGCTGGGGCGCTTGGCTGGGACCCCGGCCCCTGAAGGCTGCCCAGCCTGCTCTGGGCTTCTCCTGGCCACCAGGAGGGTTGGCTGGGCAGGCCCCAGGCAGAAGCGGCTCTTGTGTGCCAGGTTGGTGGAAGTCCGGGAGGCTCTAACCCAGATCAGGAGGAAGCAGGCACTGCAGGACTCTGAGCGGAAGAGCACCGAGCAGGAGGCCAACCTGAGGTGAGCAGCTCTGGCCTCCCTCCCCAGGGGCTGGCTCTGGACCTGCTGTGTGTGGTCGCGTGGAAGTCGTCAAGGCAGGGCAGGTGTTCACTTGCCCTCGGTGCCAAGCTGCTGATTGATGGGGAGCCTGTAGACCCTCTGTGGGAGAAGCGACTTGAGCGAGGGGGTTCCCAACTCTTCCCCTTTTCCATAGGTCATGCTCACTGGGGCCCAGCTCGCACCTTCTCAGGTGGGGGCAGAAAGCCAGCATCTTGCCCCCTCTCTGTTTACTCAGGCAGGTTAGGCACTTCCCGCTCCAAAGGCCTGTAAGTCGGCCTAGTCCCCCACTCCCCACCCCCATGTAGGCCTTTGCCTGAGAAGGATTCTTGAAGTTCAAAGGTCCCGCCAGCCTCCCTGTGGTTCCCCAGCCCTTCTGGCTGGCCTGGCTGCTGTGACCTTTGGCCGGTGCCCCCAGGTTGGCCAACTTGGCTGGGAAGCTGGACCAGGAGGAGCAGAACCGGGAGGTGGCCTGCAGTGCGCTGCAGAGGAGCCAGGAGGACGCCAGCCAGAAGATGGACCATGAGGTGGCCAGGCTGCAGGTACCCAGGCAGGGTGCTGGGTGACAGGCTCCGTCTGGAAGGGAACGCCCATGCTCCCAGCCCAACCTATGTCGTCCTTTCGGGTTCTTTCCTCGCTCCAGCTATCTTTGCAGTCCCCTCCACGTGATCAGACTGGGGGAGTGATCCCCAAGTCCTATGCTGTTTAATACACTGGCCACTAGCCTCAGGTAACTCTGTATATTGAAATTAGCTACATTTTAGGCAATTTAAAACTCAGTGCCTTGATCACACGAACCAAACTTTAAATTCTCAGAGTCCTTGTGTGGCCAGTGGCTGTCGACAGGGGCTGCACCAAGATGGAGCACCTTCCTTGTCACAGAAAGTTTTGTTGTTAGCACGAGCTCAGCCATTGCTCCTCCTCCTCCCTTTCTATATAACCAGCACCCAAATCTAGAAATAGAACATTGTAGCCCAAAGCCCCCTTCTTGGCCGTTTTCAGCCTTGGTGCTTCCCTTATGCAAAGTGGAAGTTACCTTCCTGAAGATGCATCTCTCAGTGCTTATACTTCTTGGCTGGTGCAGTTTCCCCCGCTGCATGGGGCCCCTTAGGAGGTGGGGCAGGGGATGGGAAAGCCTCCGCTCTGCAAATAGAGACCAGGGACTGCACTGCACACCAGGGAGGCCCCAGCTGCCGTCCGCATAACTCAGCTGCTCAGCTCTGGAAGTGTTTCCCTCCCAGGCCCTTTGGGGAGTTGGCACCTTGGTTCCCTCAAGAGACTGCTAGCAGCCTGCCAGCCAGGAGCTGCACAAATTCCTGCTATGCCATTCACCGGGTGGGATGCCTGCCTCTTCCCTAAGACCACTCTAGGGCTGGAATCTGCAAGCTATGGCCAGCCACCTGGCTTTGTAAATAAAGTTTTATTGGCACATGGCCATTCCCATTCATTTACTTTTGTCCAAGCTGCTTTTGCGCTGGAACCACAGAGTGGAGGAACTGTGACATAGATCCCGTGGCCCGTAAACCTAAAACGTCTACTCTCTGGCTCTTTACAGATCATTTGCCCAGCCCTGCTCCAGGTCATCCTGCATGGGCAAGGAGGCCAGCATGGCTGGTGCTCACGGCCCTGGGGGCTGCGGGAGCTTCCCAGAGGGCGCTGTGGCCTTGGAGAAGGTGCCTCCTGCCAGAGGCCTGCCTGCCCTGTGGGTGTGTTAGGCAGGGAGACAGGGCCAGGCTGGGCCCTGACTCCCCTGGTCCCGCCCCCGCAGACCCTTGGTGCAGCAGGAAGGGAGTTGAGAGGGGGGAGAGCAATGGAAAGGGCCCCTATCTGGGCAAAGGGTGTGTGTGTGCATGAGTGTGCACATTTGCATGTGTGCATGTGTGTACAAGTGAGTGCTCACACATGCACTTGCCCTCCCGTCCCGAGGCCGCCAGCTCTGGGTGTGGTTTGGTAGTAGCTACTATGCCTTCTCCCCTGAGGGGTGCCTCATGGCCACTCCTTGGGCACCAAGTGTATCCTAGACCTGCGTGAACATGGCCTGCAGACCCTTCATGTCCCTTTGCCTGGACATGTGACCCCTGCCTGCCTTTCCTCTCTTCCTAAGGAGGGTGTGGCAGGCCCAGCTCTGCTAGGCTCGGGGACAGCCAGGGATACAGAACCCAGAGCCCCCTCCAGATGGAGATGGTTAGGCAAGAAAACATCCAAGATGGCATGTGTGGGGGATGGCTGTGGGAGGAGGGCACCCAGCAAAGTGGCAGCACAGTGCCCGTGTGTGCCCCCTCCACAGGCCCAGGTGACCAAACTGGGTGAGGAGATGAGCCTTCGCTTCCTCAAGAGGGAGGCTAAGCTGTGTGGCTTCCTGCAGAAGAGCTTCCTGGCACTAGAGAAGGTGGGAGCCTGCAGGCTGGTGGGGCTGTGCTGTGTCCCCTGCTCACGGGGCTCGCAGCACTGGGTGGGGTCTCTCGCAGAGAATGAAGGCCTCCGAGAGCACACGGCTGAAGGCGGAGAGCGGTCTGCGGGAGGAGCTGGAAAGCAGGTGGCAAAACCTCCAGGAGCTGGCCGAGGAGCGCGTGCGAGCCCTGCGGGGGCAGTGCAAGGTGAGCAGCTAGGGCACAGGCTGGACACCTGGTTGGGGGCGGCACGGGTCTCAGGGCCGCCCCTGCACCACAGCAGGAAGAGTGCTACCTCCTGGAGCAGTGCCGGGGCCTGGACCGGGCTGTCGTCCAGCTGACCAAGTTTGTGCGCCAGAACCAGGTGTCGCTGAACCGTGTCCTCCTGGCGGAGCAGAAGTCCCGGTGGGTATCCAAATAGAGCAGTGGGCAGAGAACAGCGCTGTCGGGCTGGGTGGACTGGAACGGCTCCCTCCCCAGGCCTTAGCACCCTGAGCCCAGGGCCAGGCCTGGTGGGGCCGCCAGGGCAGAGTAGCTGCCCATCCCAACCTGCCCCTCATGGGGACACTCAGTGTGGCAGTGGGGGACGCAGCCCCATTTTGGTGGCCCCTCTGGTGACACTCTCATCCTCTGGTCCACTGGGTCTCCTGGAAGGTTCTGGAACCAGCAGTCAGGCTCCCCTCCTTGGCCCAGCTCTGAGGGGCAGGCCAGCCCCAGCTGAGGGACAGTTTCTCTCAGTGGCACCAACCCACAGGGACACCAAGGGTTGCTTGGAGGAAAGCCAGGCTGGAGAGCTGGCTGCCTACCTGCAGGAAAACCTGGAGGCCATGCGGCTGGCCAGCGAGCTGGCCCAGCACGAGATGCGCGGCACATTGGAGCTGGTGAGGGCGGCAGGGCTGGGTCGGGTCTCCTCTGGGGTCCCCACCTACACAGGCACCCCCGCTCAGCCTGACCTCCCACAGCTCCAAGAGAAGAGCCAGGCCTTGGAGGGGTCCGTGGCTGAGCTGGTCAGACAGGTGAGGGACCTGAGTGACCACTTCTTGGCCCTGAGCTGGAGGCTGGACCTGCAAGAGCAAACACTGACCCAGAGGCTGTGCGAGGTAAGGCTGCGGTGCTGCCTGGGGGAAAGGCAGCCGAGACAGTGGGGCGGGGCCTGGCCCCCCTCCCGATCCAATAGGTGCAGGCCTGACCAGCTGGTCCCATGTGTACCCAGTGACTGCTTGCGCAGCCCAGGGTGACCCTGTTCCTGGGAGACCTCCTGCCCAGAGTGGGCAGCCAGGGTCAGCCGCTGAGACATTCAGAGGCCCCAGAGATCCTACTGCACAGGGGCTCCACAGAGGGGCCGGCGAGGCAGAATCTGCCCCGTGGGTGTTTTTCTTCTTTTTTGTAATAGCTTTGTGGAAGTTTAATGCACTTATCATAAAATTCACCTTTTTAAAAAAGATTTTATTGATTTATCTTTAGAGGGGAAAGGAAGGAGAGAGGGAGAGAAATATCAATGTATGGTTGCCTCTCGTGTGTCCCCTACTGGGACCAGGCCTGCAACCCAGGCATGTGCCCTGACTGGGAATCAAACCTTGATGCTCTGGTTTGCAGGCCCGTGCTCAATCCACTGAGCTACACCAGCCAGAGCCATAAAATTCACCTTTTAAAAATGTATAATTCAGTGAGATTTTTTGCATATATTCAGAGTTGTACCATCGCCACTACAATCACTTTTAGAAGCTTTTTGTCACCCCAAAGGAGACGCTGTCCTCATGAAGTCGTCACTCCCCTCCCCACCCCCAGCCCCTGGTACCCACTATCTGCTTTTAGTCTCTGGATCTGCCCATTCTGGACACTCCACAGAAATGGAATCACACATTACGTGACCTTCTGTGTCTGGCTTCTCCCACAGAGCACGACTTTTTTACAAACATTGGTGTTGCAACACGTACAGGTGCCTTTTCCCTTTTCGTGGCCGAGTGCTGTTCCACTGTGTGGTGGACCGCCACTTGTTTATCTGTTTGTCAGCTGATGGACACTGGGCTGCTGCCCTTGTTAGCGATGTAGATGGCATTGCTGTGAACACACATGTGTACCCTTTGGTTGTGGGGCCAGGTTCCCCGGGTCTGCCCTGTGTCTCCTCTCCTGCAGGTGTGGGCAGGTGGTCTTTTCTCTGTCCCTGTCCCTACCGACTCCAGGGGCACTGGGGCTGGAGTGGGGGCGGGGCTGAGCGAGGCCTGCATGTGCCCAGTGGGGTGGTCTGGGCCGCGTGAGACCTGCGAGCACGTGCTCAGCACCCGTTGTGCCAAGTCCACCTGGCCGCCCTCCCTGGCCCGGCTCTGGCCTCACTGGGTGTCTGTGTCCCAGGCAAAGACCGAGTGGGAAGGCGCAGAGCGGAGATCGCTGGAGGGCCTGGCTCAGTGTCGGAAGGAGGCCCAGGCGTCCCTGAGGGAGGTGCGGGAGACGGTGGACGGCCTGCCCTGGCAGGTGGGTGAGGGCCAGGGCTGCACCCCCCCCCCTGCCGTGCCCACCCTTAGCCACCAGCCCACCCCCAACTCTGCCGTTTCAGATAGAAGTCGTCTCTGACAGGTGTGTCCTACACAAGAGTGACTCAGACCTCAAAATTTCTGCCGAGGGTAAAGCCAGGTGAGGCTGAGCTCCGGCAGAAGCCTGGTAGGACCGTGGCCCCTGGGAAGGGAAGTGAGCTCCACTGAGCTGACTGTCAGGGAGTAGGCTGGGGGGGTATGGCTGACCGAGAACCACCTTGCTGCACCAACAGGGCTTCTCCCAGGTGCTGCTCTGTGAGCTCCTGGCACCTGTGGCCGCCCTAACCGCCCCCCTAAGGCCTGGCTCAGCCCCCTTGGGAGCAGCCTGCACAGACCGCCAAGTCTCCCCCTCTCTCACCCGTTGGTGACCCCAGCCCCCACCGGAGGAGTAGTGAAGCCAAATGTCCCGTATTCTTCCCAGAACCTCCTCCCTCTGCCTACCCTGCCCGTCAACTCAGGGTGCTCCCCAGAGCCTGGTGGCCTCGGCCCCCTGTCCCCATAGGGAATTCGAGGTTGGGACCTTGCGGCAGGAGCTGGCTGCTCTGCTGTCGTCTGTGCAGCTGCTCAAGGAGGGCAGCCCTGGGCGGAAGATCGCTGAGATCCAGGGCAAGCTGGCCACGGTACCCTCCCAGGCCCGTCCCACCCAGAAGAACGGGAGGTCATCTGGTCCAGACGGGGGGTGGGCAGCTGCCTGGGGAGGGGGGTCCTGGGGAGGGTCACAGATATCCTGCTGGGGTCTCCCCATGTCTTAGCCTTTGGAAGTTCCAACACTGGGGCATCAGCGGTCATGGTGAAAGGAGTGGCCCCGAGCACTGGCCGGGTCCCACCTGATCGCTGGGCTGAGTGATGCCCCTTCGTCCCATCAAGGGGTGATGACCCACACATCAGAGGTCGGTTCCTCCTCTGGGGGATTGGGGTGGGGCTGCTTCCATGTCCACAAACGGGGGACAGTATTTAGTTTCAGAACCAAATAATGAAATTGGAAAACAGCATCCAGGACAACAAGACCATCCAGAATCTCAAGTTTAATTCGGAAACCAAGCTGGTGAGAGGCAGCCCTGTACTGGCACAACAGGCCCTCCCGCTGCAGCCCCAGGCCCCCAGGCTGGGTGGGGGGCTGCTTTCTCTGTGCAGGGCCTGAGTCCCAGTTCTTCCTCACCCCTCCCAGCCTGCCCGCCCCTCTGTCTCTGGTCTCCTGCACTATCTGCCTGTCTGCCCTGGTTTGCCCAGAAGAAGATAATCCTGTGTGCTGTCCCACCCCCCATTCCCATCCCGCATTCCCGCATCCGTGCCTCCCCCATGCCGCCCCCGCTTCTGTTCTCAGCGCAAAGAGGAGATGGCCACACTGAGGGAGTGCCTGATGTGCCTGTGGAGTGAGGACGGCCCGTGGGCCCCGACGCTGGGCAGCAGGAAGGTCTTCATGTCCCTGGGGAGACAGCAGTTCATCAAGGATGTGGCCTCTGGTGAGGTGGTACCCGTGAACCGCTGGGGCGTGTATCAGGCTGTGAGGTGAGCAGTGGGGAGCTGCCTTTTAGAGGCCCCTCTGGGTCTGGGTTCGGGGCTGGGGGAGGCCCCAAGGGCAGTGGGCCGTAAGCCATGTTTCTGGGCAGGTGGCTGCAGTGGAAGGCTGTCCTCATGAACCAGGTAGCCCGGCGGAGGCCAAGAACAGTCTTGGAGAGGTCCCTTGGCCAGAAGCCTGCCCACCAGCTCACATCCTTACCCCCTTGACAGAAATAAACATGCCAGCTCCTGCTGCTGTCAGAGTGTGGATTCCCTCCAGGGGTTCAGGGGGACCAGGCGGCTGGAGTGACCAAGAGGACCCATCGTCAAAGCTTGTCCATCCTCAGACTCCCAGAATGCCCTTCTCTTGACCAAGCCCAGCTGAGCTCCAGCCAGTTTCCTGGGCCTTCCTGCCAAGAGGCCCGGGGGCCTGGAATCCACACCCGCGCCCAGCTGGGTTCCCCGGCAGCCAGGCCGGCCCGGGCCCAGGCTCTCCGCCTGTCAGCCATGCCCTTCAAACCTGCGAGGTGCCCAACAGAGAATCATCTCTTCCTGTCCTAATCTAGGGAGCAAACAGTGTGTTTGCTCATGCACTCAGCAGCGCCTCCTCCTCCTGCCTCTCCAAGAAAACTCTCGGCTCATTTGGGTAGCTGGCCCTGCCACCTGCTTCAGGAAGGGCCACCTGGGACTAGCCAGTGGGCAGGCAGTGGGAGGGTTGTCCTTGGGAGTCTTGGGGCCTGGTCTGGATGGGCACAGTGTGTCCTTCTCCTGAGCCCATAGTCTCCAGGTGGCCACAGCTCCTGCCCTGCCATTCTTTCCTATGGGCAGAGCTCCAAGGACTGAGGCCAGGGTGGCCGGTTCAGGTGCTGGGACTTCAGCCCCTGCACATTCCTGCCCTGGTGGCCTATGGTGGTTGCAGCTTCAGGTCCCAGGATGAGCCCTGCCCCTCTCCCCAGGCCTGGAAAGTCCCCACCTAGGCTGCTCTGTCCTCCTGGTGGCTGCCACTGCGGAGGGCCCCAGAGACCCCCAGCAGGACAGCCATGAGGGGACCCCAGACCCCTGCTGCCCCAGCTTACCCTGCCAACCTTGGCTGCTCACTAGGCCTCAGCCAGCTGTACCCCCTCCAGGGTCTGGGCACCCCTGCCTGGCGGCTCGGGGCCAGCCTCTACCGACCAGCTAGCCAGCAGGTCACTGAAGTCGGGTGTACCCGGGTGCAGCAGGCCCAGGGGGCTGGGCACTGGCTCCTTCCAGAAGGAAGGGGGCAGCTTCCTCTGGGTCATGGGGGTGATGTGGCCATACTTCTGCTCCAGCCTCAGCTGGGGGCCAGCTGACACCCTGGGCCCTGAGAACTGCCGCAGCCCGTAGTCGAACAACTCAGCCAGTGGCCCCAGGGGCTGCACCCTTTCCTCACCAAGGCCTGTCTCCTGCACCTGCCCCTGGGGACCCCGGGGAGAGTGAGCCCCAGGCCCCGAGGCCCTGTTGTCACCAGGGAGCCCACCCTGGGTCGGGTGCATCGCATCTGTGCAGTAGCGCTCCCTGGCTGAGCTGCAGGCCCCGTGGCCGTCAGCATAGATGTCGCAGGTGTCTGGGTCCTGTCCCCTGTCCTTGCGGCCGAAGTACCTCTGGATGTCGCCGCTGATGAGCTCAGAGAACCGTAGCAGCTGCAGTGGCGTCTCGGCGCTGCTCAGACCTGCAGGGGCCTCTTCAGGGGCAACTGTGGCCCAACCTGGGCTCCGGGGAGCTGGGCTGTGGGACCCTGGCCCCTCACCCTTCAGATCCTCCTCTTCTTCCTCCTCCCCCTCTTCTTCTTCCTCCTCCTCCTCAGAAGTGTCTGGGGGCTCTGGGTCTAAGGGCAGGAAGGGCTGAAGCGAAGGCAGGGGCAGCTGGAAGTCACAGAGAGGTCGGATCACTCCTGTGGCCATGTCCTTCACGTTGGAGCCTCTGGGGCAGCAGGGCCGCTGGGAAGGGAAGGGAGAGGGGACAGGTTGTCAGTCAGGGCCTGCAGCCCTCCTGGTGGGACTGGGCACTATGGCCACTTGTTCTTGGAGAGGGAGCTGAGCTCAGAAGTGGGTGAGAGTTGGAAGGGCCGGGGCGGGGGTGTCATCGTGGCAGTGGGCGCAGCCTGAGTTGGGTGGGGGAGCCTGCGGAGGGCGGGTCCCGGAGTTTAGAGCAGCCGCTGCCTGTCAGATGGTCACGGGCCCTGTGAGCAGTGCATCCTGAAGGGTGGTCAGAGGGAATGAGGGTGGGTGACAGACAGGGTTGGTGCCGCCAGAACAGTGAGCTGGTGGTGAGGAGCAGTCACAGAGAGAGAAGCAGGGGACGTGGGAAGGCAGCCCCCAGGGGCTAGGGTGAGAGTGGGTTTGGGGCCTTGGAGGGCGGACGCCGTGTCCCAGTGTGGGGTTGCTACGGCTCTTGATAAACAGGCTTGTTGAGGCGTTGTCTGCCCAGGTGCTGGACAGGGGACCCCTCGCCCTTGCGATGCCCACACTGAGCCCAGAGGCTGACTGCCTTGGGGCCCAGAGCCCTAGCAGCTTTGGGAGCTTTCAGAGCCAGCACTATTTCTCCCATCCCCCATTTTCCCAGTCCCATCTAATTCCAATAAGTGCAGGCACAGTCCCAGGCTTTCGTTTGTTCTCTGTCAGTTGACCGAGGGGTGAATGAGACAATGCCGCAGGATTCGGTAGGGTCCTCCAGAGGCAGAGCGGCCTGTGGGCGTCTGCTTGTCTGGGGCTCGGGAGGATGGGGAGGGGATTTGGGGAGGAGACTACCAGGGGTGCCTGTGGCTCTCCCCTGGGCCTGCGGCCGAGCAGGGGTATGGGGAGCTGATTGTGAACGCTGAAGCCTCCCCCCACCCAGGGATGAATCAGGCATGGCCCTCCTGGGCAGGGAGGCCGCAGAGTGAGCCAGGGAGGGAGGGAAGGAAGGAAGGAAGGGACGGAGGGAGGGAGGGAGGGAGGGAGGGAGGGAGGGAGGGAGGGAGGGAGGGAGGGAAGGAAGGAAGGAAGGAAGGAAGAAAAGGGAAGGTCATTCGGAGAGACGGAGCGGGGTCTCCCAGTTTGCCAGGAAACACCTCCCAGGGGTGGGTGAGTCCACAGGCATCGCGGAGAGGCAGGTGGGCCTGGGGAGCGTGGGCCTCCCTTGCTCCCGATAGGCCGGCCGCTGACCACGCTGCACTCCCAGTCTTGTATACAGTGCTGGGGCCCCACTTCCCTGCAGGGGCATCCAGTGGCCCCAGCTGCGGGGTGGCACCCGCTTTCCCCGGCCCATGCTTTCCCTGTTGCACGCCTGAAGGGCCTGGCCCTGCTCAGCCCTGCTGGTGCCCTATCCCAGTGAGTGGGAGGGCCCCAAAGACCACCTGGGCAGAAGGGCCCACAGCCTTCCCAGGAGGGAGAGGAGGCCAGACCCCACAGCCAGGACCCTCCCCACCTGCTGCACAGCCCTCCTCTTACCTGTGAGACCTGCAGCTCTACCGGGCAGGCCCACCTCCACCTGGGCTCAAGCATTTATAGCCGGGCTTTGCTGCCGGCAGGGCTGGCAAATATTTGGGGACTGCATTGTCATCGCAGACTGGGCAAATAGACTCCGTTTGTTTTAGCGCCCGGCAACCAGGGCCCAACAAGGGGGAGCCTGGGCCTGCCTGGGGACAGGAGAGTGTTTGCTGCACGCCCAGCTGGCTCACACCCGGCCGAGGACCCTTATCTCCACTGCTGATTGGGGCCCCAACCAAGCCTTGTCAGATAGGCGGAAAATTAAATTTCATGCTATTTTGACTTCTGGAGTAGCCTTCTCTAGAGGACACCCCGCTTGTGCGGTGCTCTGGGTGAATGGGGCTCCTGGCCAGCAGCAGCACCTGAGAAGGTCAAGGGAGGGAGGCTGGGGACCACCAGCCAGAGCCCGGGGGGGGGGGGGGGGGCTCAGGCTCAGGCAGGCGGGGCTGCTGGTGCTGCTGCTCAGGCCGCTCTGCTCGGCCACCTCCCACCGTCCCAGAGCTGCGGCTGAACCCCTGCTCCCTCCGCAGGGTTTTGTCCCCAGTGTCCAGGCTAAGATGGCCCCTCCCCTCCCGGTTCCTGTTTTGGCTCCCACACCTCTCTCTGCGGGGGTTGGTAGCCCCCACCAGCCTTGTGGAAACTGCTGCACCTCACCAGTGCCTTACGACCACCGGCAGGGCCCCAGAGCCGCTGCCCAGCCAACCTCCCGTCCTCCCTCCCGGGTAGCCCACCCCCTCTGCCCTGTGGTGCTGCACAAATGTCCTGAAGCCACCATGACCAGTCACCACACACAGGGTGGCTGACAACAACAGAGGGGTTCTCCCCTCTGAAGGCCAGAAGTAAAAAATCCAGGGCCTTTGGGGCTGGTTCCTTCTAGGAACTCCTAGGGGAATTGGTCTTGTGCCTCTCTCCTGGGCTGTGGTGTCACTGGCCAGCAATCCATGGAGATCCTAGGCTTGTAGCCAAAACTTGGCCTCCATGGCCTCTCTGCTGTCCCCGTCAGTGCCTGTGTCCGCGTCTTCCTCTTCTCACGAGGACACCCTCACTGGAGCGGGCCCACCTACTCCAGCCTCAAGTCCGCTTGCTTGGCCACACGAATAAAGACCCAGCTTCCACAGAGGGCTTGTCCTGAGGTCCGCGTGGACCCGAGTTCGGGTGCAGTGTTCAGCCCCGTAAGTGCCCTCCATATGTGGCCATGGCCCCCACCTCATTGTGGCCGCTGCTGGGTGGTTTGCCCCCCTGGATCAGCCCCTGTGGTGCTGGCTGAGGGGACCCCAGAGTCCCATCCGCTGTGGCTCCCACAGTGGCCACTGCCTGTGGCCCAGGCTCTGAGGACAGGACAGCAGCCCCCGCCAGCTTGGCGTGTGCCCCATCCCTGGGGCCCATGGTCACTTGTGGTCCCTGATCTCCCTTCAAAACGTGGGGGTCACCCATCCATGGAACTGTGAGGGTCACAGATGCCACTCCACCCCTCCCTGGGTCCTTGCCCTTCAGCTCCAGGCCCCACCCCCTTCAAGAGGGGATGACGCCTGCCCCACCCAGCCTGCCCCCATGATTGCTGCTGATCATTTCTCAGGCGTCTGGAAGGCCACACGCAGATGCTCCATGCCACCCAAGAACGGGACCTGCCTGGGCCAAGCTGAGTGACCTGCCGAGGTTGTTTGCCTGTGGTGGGACCGGCGAGAAGGCAGAGGGGCAGGGTCACCGCAGGCCACAGGGAAAGGCTGCAGGGAGAGAGGAGGGATGTGAGACAGGCCAGGTCTCGTAAGGCCTGCAGATACAATTGGTCATTACGGAGCCTTCCGAATGCCCTGGGGTGAGGCCGTGGCCCAGGCGAGGGGTGTCTGGCAAGGATCAGTTGCATGGGCCCAGTTCATGTTTGGACCTCAGTCCCCAGGGATTGACCTCAGGCACAGCCACAGTTCTGCTCTGAGAGTCTGGTCCAGTGACACCGTTGTCCGGGTCCTGCCTGAGGGGTGTCCCTGCCTCAGCCGCGGCTGACTCCCTCTGCCTCAGCCCAGCCCAGCTGTCAAGCCACCATCTGCGGAGGCCTGGGTTGGGGCCCCAGGTGTCTCCTGGGCTGCTGGGGCCCCTCCATTCCCTCTCTGCCCAGGTACTACTGCTCCTGCCCGCTGCTGGCTGAGCGAGCTCCCCACCTATACATGCCCTGGACCCTACGGCAGCGATTTTCAACTGGCATGCCCCAAGAATCGTTACACCATGCAATACCTGACTATTTAGTCAGGGGCACTGGCCTCTTTTCCCTTGGACTGTGAAATTTAAAAATTACAACCACCAACCCCAAAATAGCTATCTGGTATAAATGAATCAAAATTATATATATTTTTGTGAGACTAGCAAAAATATATTTTTTGGTGTGCCACAGAATTTTAGTAACTTAGTTTACGTGTGCCACTAGATGAAAAAGGTTGAAAATCACTTTCCCATGGCCATACCCCGGCAGCTGCCAAGGCTGTAGCTACAGCGCCCCCTGCTGCTAGTCGTGAGAGACCAGGGCCAGGGCCTCGCTCTGGTCTCCCACCCTCCCCTGTGCCAGGCATGGGTGGGGGCAGGGGGCAGGTGGACTGAGGAAGCTGAGACACAGCCCTGCCCTCCAGGGGGTCCCTGCCTGTGTGACCAGAGGAGGTCGTTTGCGGGAAGCTGATAGGAGCCACAGCTCGCCAGGCCAGACTGCGGGCAGTGAAGGTGTTCCTGCAGAGCGGACAGCCCGGGGAAGACCCAGACCTCAAAGAGCTGGCGCCTGAGGGTCCTCTGAATGATGGCCCCAAAGACATCCAGGCCCTAATCCCCAGGACCTTCAGATATGTCACCTCGCATGACAAAGAGACCCTGCATGGGTGATTGAGGTAAGGAACCTGAATGAGAGATGACACTGGGCCCCCAGAAAGGGGAGGCAAGAGGGTCAGAGTGAGAGGAGAGGTGACAACAGAGGCAGGTTCCCTGTCAGCCTTGAAGGTGAGAGGCACCAGGAGCCAAGGAGGGGGGGCCTCTAGGATCTAGAGAGCAAAAGGGAGTGATTCTCCCCACACAGCCTCCGGGCGCAGCCCTGGAGACAGTTTGGCTTTCAGCCAGGGAGACCCATTTTCGACTGCACAGTAACAATAAGTATTGTTTTCAACCACCCAGCCTGTGTGCCTTCATTCCAGCAGCAAAGGAAACTCACAACCGGAAGCACCAGCTGGCCAGTGGCTGCGGGTGGCCCGCAGGACCTCGTGGCCCAGCTGTGGAGTTCAGACCTTCCTCCCAGCCACAGGGAAGCCCAGGTGCCCGGCTCTTCCCTCTGTCACTGGAGCCCGATCTGAGATTAGGGCTTTCGCCAGGAGGAGGGCCCATGATGGCTACTACCACCAAGGCCTGCTCCTTCCTGGGTGCCCCTGTTTTCACCTCCAACCCCACGGGACTACTTTCCCATCCTGGCCTCTGCCTCAGGCCCCTGGTCAGTGGAACTGGGGCCACAGCAGGGGCTTTGGGTCCCCCGGGCGGCCCAGTGAGGAGATGTCTGCTCTCACCAGCCATAGGAATACTGTCTACAGACAGCCAAACCCTTGTCCTTTGCTGGCACATGCCCAGTGCTTTCCTCCACCTGACCAGGGACCAAGGAGGGAACTCCGTCTCTCTAAGACAGACTCCCAGAGTGGGGGAGAGACAGAGCACACAGACGTTTGGGGAGAGGAACCTGGCCGGTGCATGTGGGGCGGGCATCTGGGCAAGAGAATGAGACCAGAGACGAGGTTGGGCTGGGGAGGCGCTACTGTGCCAGTCCCAGCAATCAATGATGGAGCCCAGCAAGGCACAGTCTGAGGGTTTAGGGGTAGGAGACAGGTGTGAGGAGGATTTCAGAAGCAGATCTAGGATCGTAGTAGGGTGTTCCTGAAAAGTAGGGTGTCTCTTTCTTGCCTTTGAGCCGTGTTCACGAGGGACCCAGGAGTCTAGCAGAGAAAGGCAGAACTCTGGCTCTTGTTACTGGCGAGGCTGGTTTGGGGTATAGCACCCTGAGGGGACTCGGATTGGCAGAGAGACACAGGTTCCCATACATGTCCAGCCCATGTTGGGTGGCTGGTCTGGCCAAGCTGCATGGGGGCCCCATGCCCCCTGGCCCCCACCGAGCCCCTAGGGTGGGGCTGGGAGACAGGCACTCAGCCACTCGGGCGGGAGCCCCAGCATATGTCTCAGCATCTGCTCCCAGCCAGCCTCCTGTTTGGGGCACCGTCGGGCCCTTTGGAGCTCTGTGTTCATCCTGTCCCCATCAGCTTCCACCTGTCATCAGGCCTCAGACACCCAGGAGAAAAACTCTGTTCTCCCAAGAGCCGTGGACCTGCTTGTCCCCGTGCACCACGTATTGATCTTCCCAGAGAAAATCAATAGCTCCAATATGTCAGCTCTCAAGTGGCGCTACAGTGAATTACTCCCGGCTCTGGGCACACAAGGGCTCAGCCTTCCTGCCCATTAATGGGGCATTAGGCCTCATGTGAGGTTTCTCTGTGTGCTTTGAGATAATGAAAGCTGAGGTGTTAGTTTATGTCCTTGGGAGGGTGGAGGGGGGCCCAAGAGCAGGCAGTGCTGGCAGTGCCAGGCACCTGTCACCCAGTACTTGGCTAGGCCTGCTAGGGTCAGGGAGGGGAGGGCATCTGGCTTTGTCCACTCTGGGCTCCAGTGCATTGAAGGGTTAAGTATACTGCAGTAGTTGGGGCCGCCGCTGCCCTCCAGCCTAGGCCACCTGGAACACACCTGTGGCTGAACAAGGTGGGTTTGTGCTCCTTGCAGCCAAGGAGAAAGTGCACGGGGATATGGGTGTCTCAGCAGGAGGGTGTGAGAAAGGGCTGTGCATTCAGGCCAGTGTTGGGCTGTCACAGATGGGCACAGGTAACCAGGTTCTTGGTGATCATAGACAAAGAATTGAACCAAACACAGAGAGTTTATAGCAGAAAGAGCCAGAGCAGATTTATTAAGCGGTAGTACACCCCACAGAACACAGGAGCAGGCCAACTCCAAACAGAGATGGACCTCAGGGGCTGGAGGGATTTGAATCTTATAGGGAGGATATTTCCTGGCTAGTTTTGGAAGGGTTTCGTTGCGCATGTACAGTCGTTATATTACTTTAAAGCTACTGTGCATGTGGTCTCCCATGATTTCCCTTGATTGGCCACTAGGGAAGGGGGTCCCACAATGTTATTTTATTATAATGCTATTATAATGAAGCAGGGGTCATGTAGCATCTTCTGCTCAGGTGCGTTCATGATTCACCATGATTCATCACTTTTCCAGAAAGCCGGAACAACAGGTCTCAGAAAATGGTCTCCGTCCCGTATCATTGTCCTTTATCTTAGCCCCGGGGCTCCTGCGCAGTTTCCTCCTCCAGACCATCTCCTGCCTCAGGGTGAGTGGCTTTGCCCTGGGTTGCACACTGTCAGGTTGCAGGGTGACTCTGAGAGTGGGTGCCTGTCTCGGTCTCCTGGGGCTGCCCTAACAAAGGACCACTAACTGGATGATTTAAAACAACAGTAAGTTGTTTTCTCACCGTTCTGAAGGGCAGAAACCCCAAACAAAGGTGTGGGCAGGAGTATACTCCATCTGAAGGCTCCAGGGACAGTGTCTTTCAGGCCTTTTTTCTGAGCTTCTGGTGTTCCTGGCAATTCTTGGTATTTCTTGACTTATGGCCACATCACTGCAGCCTCTGAAGATTTATTGATTGATTGATTGATTGATTGATTTATAGAGAGGGGAAGGGAGGGAGAAAGAGAGGGAGTGAAACATCAGGGTGTGGTTGCCTCTCACACCCCCCCTACTGGGGACCTGGCCCACAACCCAGGCATGTGCCCTGACTGGGAATCGAACTGGTGACCCCTTGGTTTGCAGGCTGGCACTCAATTCACTGAGCCACACCAGCCAGGGCTGCAGCCTCTGCCTCTTCACGTGGCCTGCTCCCCTACTTGTCTCAGTGTCTTTTCTCCTCTTCTTATAAGGATACCAGTCATTTGGCTTACGGCCCACCCTATCCAGTATGACCAAATTTTAACAAATTACATCTGCAAAGACCCTATATACAGACGAGATCACGTGCTGAGGTTCTGGGTGGATGTGAATCTGGTGGGAGGTACACTATTCAGCCCACTACAGCATCTTAAAACGTCAGGAGGAGGGCAGAAGAGGCAAGGCCCCCACATGGCTGGTAAAGGAAGGCCGCCCCTTCTTTAGCCAGGACAGGTGTGTCTGGTCTTTTTTGAGGTTTGGGCTGTGTCTGTGTTTGTCTGTGTTCAGATGTGACTAGAGGGGTTGTGTTTCACTTGGGGCCGTCATGGTCACGGAGAGGACTGGTCCAACGCCGATGTCCTCTCACAGTCTCCATCCAATGGAAGCTTTGGCTGAGTGCATCGGGTGGCTCCTGGAGGCCGGGGCTGCCATCCTGTCCAGACTCTACGGATCTATGTCTTCTTTTGTTTTTAAACCCTCCCCTGAGGATTTTTTTTTCATTGCTTTTAGAGAGAGGGAAAGGGAGAGAGAAGCATCGATAGGTTGCCTCCCACATGTGCCAGACCAGAAATCACAAGCACCTGGACTGGGAATTGAACCTGCAACCTTTTGGTTATGTGACAGTGCTCCAACCAACTGAGCCACACCAGTCAGGGCTACAAATCTATGTTCTTTGCATCAGGCCTTCACCTACAACAGAAACCAAGTGGCAGCAGGAGCTGGGGACAGGGGAAGGGTCCATTGGATTCTGGGTTTGCTCATTCTTTGTTGTGGTCACGAGCTGCTCCTTTCAGACCCTGGCCTCAGAGTGCCCCAGCAATTTGGTGGCAGTAAGCGTGAACTTCACTGGGCTCTCTGATCTCCATCTCCTCTAAAAAGCCCTCCTGGCCCATCCTTCCATTTCGTGCCCACTCCTCCCATCCACAGTGGGTGCTCCTGGGGTTCCCTGTGGGCCGCTTGGTTTGGCAGTGATTCTGGGTGCGGTTCCGTGGTGGAAATGGTGGAGCAAGGCACAATGAGGAGGATCTAGGCACACAGATGCCTCTCTTGAAGTAGCATCTTTGAACTCCTGGGCTGGGAGCTGAGCTGCCACCAAGCATCTGGAGCTGGGCTTCCTGGGGTGTGGAGGACTCCCAGATGTTGCTGAGTTCAGAACATTTCTAGCCCACCACCCTTGCTCTAATGTCTGGAGAGTTTCTGGGGGTCCAAAACTAGTGGTGGAGTCTGGTGCTTTTCCTGCCAGGAAGATGCAGGAGAGGTGTGCTCCAGAGGCAAAGATGCTGAGCTGGCTAGCGCATTTTGGTTCATAAGGTGGCCTCCTGATTTTATCACCAAGTCACTCCACCCCCAACACACACACACACACACACACACACACACACACACACACACACACCCCACTGAGTCTCTGATGATGCCTGCACGTTCCTATGTAGTCTTCAGACACGATCGCTCAGCAGAGCCAGGGCAAGTTTGCCTTGAGGGCAAAAGGCTCCAGCAGCTCTCCTATGGAGCAAACTGGGGAACCAGGTAGAGCAGCATGCCCCAGGGCACCCTACCAGCCTGACTCAGGAAGGTGGAGGGAGCTCACTGCACTCTCATCCACAAAGAGGGTGAATGTTAGGCTGTGCACACGTGGTTCCGCTGGGCAAGAGATGGAACCGAGTCCAAGTGCAAGATGCCTTCCTCCAAGAGCCCTAGGTGTGCCCTGCTGCGGAGCGCGAGGGATCATGGTCTTGCAGTGGGGAGAACACTGCGTGGCAATACCTGTCCTGTTAGGCAGTTTGGCCAGCCCTGGGACCTGAGCAGCTTTAGGTATAGATGCAGCGCAGAGCAACGGAAAAGGCCAGGGCCTGGGGGTGGGCATAGATGGGCCCAAAGGGCGCGGGGGTGCTCCGTGCCAGGGAGAGCCGGTTGGCAGGCTCTGTGTTCACGGACTCGGTCCTAGTGGGATCACTAATCGAGTTAACAAAATGACTTCCTTCACTTGGTCTCACGAGAATGCCAAACTGAGTCGTCAAAAGACTACGGAGAGGAGGTGTCCAGGACTGTGCTGATACTGAGCCAGCAGGGCGCGACAGTTGCAGTCTCAGGGCTCCGATCTCGGGCGAGGCCGGCCCGCTGGAGAAACCGCTTGGAGTCCAGCTCGTTGATGGACGATGAACGCAACCTGTTTTGCCCGCAGGCCTCAATCTCGGGGGCGCAGCCCAGGAACCCTCAGGCTAGTTCCCCTTCGGACCAGTAGAGAACTACATTTCCCGGCATGCCCTCGCGGCTTCCCCAGGCCGGGCCTGCGTCGTCGAAAGAAGACGCCGAAAGGACACGTGTCAGTTCCGTTGCGCGAGTAGTCCCACGTTCTGTAGTCGTGAGCTGAGACCCAAAACAGTGGCTGGTTTCCGGTTTTCAGGCGACGGAAGTGACGCATCTGTAGCGCGCCGCACAGTCCAGTGCAGATCCGAGGTCGAGATGTATCGCGTCCTGACTGTGCGCGTGGCGGGGTGAGCTCGGCGCGGTGTCCGCAGGGCTGAGGGAGGGCTCAGCGTGTGCCGCGCTCACTGCTGTCTTTCTTCCAGAGCTGTCCGGGAGCTGAGGCTCCTATGCTGGGCTTCCAGAAACCTGCAGTCTTCGCCTGGTTCCCTTTCCCGGGCCCAGCCCGAGGGCGAGGAAGAGGACGACCCTAATCGACCTATTGTATTTTCCTCCAGCAAAGCCCACCCAAGCCGTTGGACTGTGGAGCATTCCCTGGGAGGGGAGCGGCAGCAGCCCTGGTTCAGGGTGCTGCCCCTAAGCCTGTCCCTCATGGCTCTGGTCATTTGGTGCTTCTTTAGACAGGAGACCGGCGCGGACCGCTGGTTGAGACAGGTGTTGGAAGAAGAGGTGCCGGAGCCCAGCGATCGTGCTGAGGAACCTGGAATTCCGGCTGCCCGTGGGGCGAGAACTTAAAAATCGCGCCCTGATGTGGGGGCAGCGAGGGACCAGGCAGCCGCTCTTTGGCTTTGACGTGGCGTTTGACTGTTTCTGTCGTGGTTAAGTGCGTCCCCACACTGAAGGATTTGTTTGGATGGCGCATCTGGCCACGCTGACCCGCGGGCAGGAGAGAGCAAAATGTCTGCAGATCGGAATCGGTCCCTTGCTTGATACTTGATGCTGAACGAATATGTTCAGATACTTTTTTGAACCATAGGAAAGGTTTTGGTTGCAGCGTGTGCTGTTGTATTGTGATTTTACTCAATATTATCATGTTTTCAAAACAATTCTGGCAATACTTCTAAGCCAGTTTGCAGGTCATTTCTTTTCTGAGACAGAATAACTGGCAGAAGAGTTAAACTATTTCATAATGTACTGTGGTGTGTATAAATTTTAATTTGCTAATATAGAATTAAGCTAATATCCTTTTTTTTGCATCTCTTTAGTTCTTTTTCAGTCCCTTTGTTTTTCTCTTTTTTTCCAGAATAGGAACTGAGGAAAAAACCTAAATAAATGTAAATTGTGGAATACATTATCAAACGATACCAGAAATAATGGAACTTAGCTCTCTGCAAATTTTTGTTTTTATCAAGACAACAACTTTCTGAATAGAACTGATATATATTTCTTTTGATAAATTATAGACAGTGTTTTGGGTATCTAAATATGTTTTGTAACTACTTCTTAGGAATCTTGCATAATCTGAAATACATGCTGCATAAAAGCAAGATTTTATTTATGTAAGGTTCTAGTGAAAGGTTTTACCTTGGTGTGTGTATGATGCTGAAGTTAATTGGAGGGTTTTCTCAATAGGGTGTTTAAACACCGCTGGCTTTGCACAAGGCCTCTGCTGAATTGCTCTAAGTGTCTGGCACACCTTGGGAAATTACGCTTGTCAGGGAGGTGGGGATGATACAAGTATGTATCATTTTTTGAAGATGGAGAGTCCAAGGTTTGGAAAGACTGGCCCAATCATAGCTCAAGTTCCATTGTCAGTCGCAGTGGGTCCTTTGACCTGGTGTTGTGAACTTTTTTTTTAAGACATTTCTTTTTAGAGGAGAAGGGAAGGAGAAAGAGAGGGAGAGAAACATCAGTGTGTGGTTGCCTCTCACACATGCCTCCCACCCCTGCTGGGACTTGGCCTGAAAAGCAGTCATGTGCCCTGACTGATCGTAGAACTGGCGACCCTTTGGTTTGAAGGCTGGCACTCAATCCCCTGAGCTGCGTGAGCCAGGGCTGAACTCTTGTTTGAGCAACAGGCATGCAAGCCTGAACCCTTCCTTTGTTCTCACTTGCTCCTGTGTGAGAAAAAAACATCAACTAATAAGAAAATTTTTATTTTAATTAAAAGTAACTCAAGAGAAAAGCAATGTGATTGATCTGGTAAAGCTAGACACTACAACAGGCAAAAGAAAGACAGAGACCACCACACCATATACAGCAGATCCTGAGTGTCTCTAGGGTGGTTATTAATGCGGACTTTCCTGGGTTTTGTCATAAACAAAAGGTGGACCTAAGGGCCACTGGCAAATGTGGGCAGATCCTCCCAATACCTGGATTTTGCAAAGGGGTAGTAGCAGAATTAGGTAGACTGGTGAACTGTAATTGAAATCCTTTTATTACTTAATTATTTTTGTAGTATGCTTGTCTTATTTCCCCAACTGGGCTGTAGACTTTATTTTTCTCAGGGTGCTGGGGACATTCACTTCTTCAGGCAAGCACCCAATAAGGATTTGGGAGACAGAGGATGAGTGTAAGCATGCTAGAGCAGAAATGGTTGCAGTGATGAGAAATTATTGGGCAGAAGGAGGAGAAAATTGTCTCAAAATTAAAGGAAGAGTAAGTTGTCTAAATGGTCTCACATCTTCCAAGCAGCTGAACAGTGTTGGAAGGTCTGGCAGTCCTGTGCATTTCTTTACGCCCCTGCTGCAAAAGACACTTCTAAATTTACAGTGTGATGTTATTTCATATGCCTTAGCCTTTTAAGAACAGTCTTCAAAAGTACAAAAAATTACACTGAATTTTAATAATAGCGTAGCAGAATTTTCTTTGATCTCTTCCAGAAAGAGGCCTTGTGGGTGAGGAGGAGCAGTGGGCATCTTGGTACTCCCATCTCTGTAGCAAAGACCCCTGGACTTTAAGATCTGGAGCCCCAACTTCCTTTTCGGAGCTTGAAGTGCCTCGCTATACATCTCTCTTAGGTTCCAAATGGGATTCATCTCTTCCCAAACCTGTTTTTTTATTAGGTATCCTTTCCAAGCTGGGGACCTTGAAATTACCTTCGACTTCTTTCTCATTCCTCTTTTCCTGGCAGTCTTTAAGATCTGTTGATTCCTCCTTCAACAAATCCGTGGGCCCTGTCCTCTGCTTCATGTTCCTGCTTGATCTTAGAAACTACCATGCTGATTTTTTTTTTTTTTGTCATTTCCCAGGTTTAAATGTGATGTTTGTAGAGGTAATGATTCATTTAGAAAATGAACATAAAAAGCAAGTGATAGCTTTTATTTTATTGTGTTACTTGTAGTGCAAAAAGTAACTTGCATACTTGGGGAAAAATATATGGAACTGTTATATCTTGCTTTGTTTTTCATTTAAATAGTATTTTTCATGTCACTAACAATTCTCAGGTAGCATTGCCGTTAAATCATGGCATAGCACTCAAAACTTAACCATGTCACGTGGACTGTTAGGTATGTTCAAGGTTTTACTAAATGACTATTACCTTTGTATGTGAATCGTACTCTGAATCTGATTTATTTTTAGGTCAGAGTTCCTAGAAATGGAACATTTTTTCTGTGAAGGTCAGCATCTGTTTGCCCTCCCAGCTGGGCTCCGGTCTGTCTTGTTGCAAGCCACCAACACTGCAGGTTGCGGTCCAGAACAAAAAACTCTGCCTGCTCCAGTGCTCAACCCTTGTTTTCATTTGAAATTTTTTTTTATTACTAGCAGAGTTAAACATATAAAAAATGTCCCTTCTGCCACATATTTATAGAATAATGTACTCTGGGCCTGGGTTGTATCCTGAAATGCACACCCTGGTTCTTACTCCATGGCTGGCTGAGCTGGGGCAGCTGCTGCTGTTTCCGAGTTCCCACCCTGTTGGTGACACTGAGCCTCGGATTTTTTAAAAATCAGCTTTACTGGCTTCTGGTCAAGATGTCAACATACACAGACATGGCTTGCCTCTTTGCACAAACACATCAAAAATACAACTGAAATATAGAACAACCATCATTCAGGAACATCAGAAATCGAGTTGAATGGAAGTCTGACAACTATGGAATTAAACCACATCCATCTAGATGGGTAGGAGGGGTGTGTGTGCAAAAGGGGCAGGCCCCACACCCGTGTGAATAAGAATTTGGGAGGGATATCTCTGGAGGGAGGTGTCCCAGACCCAAACCAGGGCCCTAGCTCAGCGTTCCAGTCCCAGGAAGGTAAGTACCCACGACTTCTGGCTGCAAAAAACAGCAAGGATTGAACTGGTGGAGGAGGCTGCTGGAGTCCCAAGCAGTTCCTCTTAAAGAACCCACACACGCCCTGGCTGGTGTGGTTCAGTAGATTGAATGTTGGCCTGTAAACCAAAGGGTCACAGGTTTGGGTCCCAGTCAGCACGTGTCTGGGTTGTGGGCCAGGCCCTCCAGGAGGGAGTGCACAAGAGGTAATCACACATTGATGCTTCTCTCCCTCTCTTTCCTTCTAAGAATAAAAATCTTAAAAAAAACCCAAAAACCATTATTTAAAAAGAAGAAACACATGGACTCACCTACTCAGACTCACTCAGTTGAGCCTGAGCACCAGTGGGATGCAGGGAGAGACTGAAGTGTCCAGTATCCAGGCAAGCAGAGGCCATTGTCCCTTTGTTGAGCCCTCCCCCCCAGAGCAGGTAGGCTGGTGCCATGTCTGAGACTCCATCAACCTTGCTAACACTGACCCACCTTAAAGATCCACACGGGCTCTACCCTACCCAACTTTATGGGCCCACCCAACCTGCTTTTCCATAAGAATAGATGGTCTCAGCTCCTAATTCCTATCAAACAAGCATCAGCTGGCTTCAGTGAGCCCTAGAGGCAGCCAGATTAGATTCACAGCTTGGCTTTGCCTGGGAACCTCCATGCCCAGCACAAGTAGCAACCAACTCAAGACTGCTTTACAGCTCAGGCAGTGTGTGTGCACTGCCCAAAACACAGGTGGGGGTTGACCTCGGCCTGTACCACCTGGGAAACTCCAGGGCCAGGGCACCTAGTGGACAGCTGCAGACCACTTCAGAACACCACCACCCTGCCCCTGTACAGCTGATCCTCCACAGACGAGGGTGGTGGTCAGTGGTCACAGGCAGTCCTTGCAGCTGAGTGGCCTGGGCAAATCCCTCCCATTGACCTGCCAATAGGTTTAACTACAAGAGGGGGGGTGTCTCACTCAGTACCTAGCTTGGGTACTCAGTACCAGCAGAGGCTGTGCCACTGGACCCTACAGGACACCTACTACATTAGGCCACACTACCAAGACAGGAGCCAAAGCAGCTCTACTTAATACATAGAAACAAACACAGGGAGGCTGCCAGAATGAGGAGACAAAGTAACAACCCAAATGAAAGAACAGATCAAAACTGCAGAAAAAGAGCTAAAAGAAATGGAGATAAGCAATCTTATCAGATGCAGAGTTCAAAACTTTATAAGGATGCTCAAGGAACTTAATGAGGACCTCAGCAGCATAAAAAAGACCCAGCCAGAAAGGAAGGATACACTAATTGAAATAAACAATTTACAGGGAAATAAGAGTGGGTGAAGGTGAGAAATCGATGATTCGGAACATGAGGGAGGAACAACAACAACAAACCCCCAATCAGAACAATAAGAAAACAATCCAATAATCCGAAACAATTAGGCCAGTATAAAAATCCTCTGGTACAACTTTAGTAGGTCTAATATTCTCTTCACAGGGGTGCCAGAAGGAGAAGAGAAAGAGCAAGAAATTGGAAATCTATCTGAAAAAAATAGTGAAAGAAAGTGTGCCCAATTTGGTAGAAGAAATAGACTTGCAATTCCAGGAACCACAAAATTCCCAAACAAGATGGATGCAAAGAGGCCCACTCAAAGACACATCATAATCAAAATGCCAAAGATTAAAAATAGAGAATCTTGAAATCAGCGATAGGCCCTGGCTGGTGTGGTTGCCATGTGGGAGGGGGGGGCGGAGAAAATGGGTGAAGAGGTAGGATGTAAAGTATCTATAGGAAATAGAGTAGCCAAAGAACCTATGCATGACCCATGGCCATGAATAATGATGGGGGGCGATTGCCTGAGGGAGTGGGGGTGCTGGGTCAAGAGGGGCAAAGGGGAAAAATCAAGAGAACTCTAATAGCATAATTTAAAAAATAAGAGAATCAGCTTTATTGATGTATAGTTAAAGTAGTTCACT